TGATGTAATGGAGGGGTTGGGGACCACTGCGCTAAACGGTTTTACTTGCAGGGAAACTACTATATTGCGGATTTTTGGTTGCTTACGCTCTATCATCTATTAATACTTAAATACCGCTAAATAAAAGTCATCGAATATATGGCATCCAGAATTAACACCTCACTCAACAAGTTCGTAGGATGACATATACATGGCACCTCTGCAGACAAATTCATATGATTTTTAGGAAGTACCAACCTTCAGACGACGCCTGCCAAAATTTCATGGCAATATGACGTTTAACCACTAAAACAACTGTAATCTCAAGTTATAGTGGTTTCAGTGACGCTACTTTTGTAATTTTAAAAACAATGGAAAAATATGAATTTCGTGTGTTGATAAAACATTGATTTTGGATGCGAAAAAATAACGTTAAATTATAAACGCGGTCGTTCAGACACAAGTGATGCTGAACGCTCTGGTCTCCCAAATTTGGCAATTGTTGCAGATAACATAAAAAAAGTCCACAAAAAAGTTTTGGCTGATCGTAAATTGAAGCTACGTGAGATAGCTGACACCCTGAAGATATCAAAAGGCATTGTATTTACCATTTTACATGAACATTTGATCATGAGAAAGCTCTGTTCAAAATGGGTACCGCGTTTGCACAAACTGGACCAAAAACAACAACGAGTTGATGATTGTTTGGAGCTGTTCGAGCAAAATAAAATGAATTTTTTATGCGGTATGTAACAATGGATGAAACCTGGATCCAATACTACAATCCAGAGTCAAATCGGTTGTCAGTTGAGTATACAGAAAAGGGTGAAAGCCGTTCAAAGCATCCAAAAACGCAAATGTCTACTGGTAAGGTTTTGACCTAACTATTCATTGATTACCTTAAGAACGGCGTTATTGGTGCGTTTAAAGGAAGAAATTGCAAAAAACGACCACAAATGAAGAGGAAAGAAGAGCTCTTTCACTCTTTCACATGTTGATCAAAACGATGGCAGATAAAAAAAAACAAAAAAATAGATTGAAAGACCTATGGTCAACTGACGGTTAACTGACCAATTATACATTCTAATCACAGAGTTGAACCTAAATTTATTTGTTGATTATAAACAGTCAAATGGATACGGCAAAATTGTTTCATGTATGAAAAGTTCTATGAATGTATGCAACTAAGCTCACACTTTGCGGCGTATGCAGCAATTATATAGACAAATCTATAGACCTAAAATAAACCACATATGGACTTCACGAGCAATAATAAATAGTAAACACAGTACCTATACATATGCACTTGCCATATGTCCCTCACAGTCTAAAGAGTCCACTCTTACTTTATTAAATATTTGGATCCAGTTCTTAATGAGAATTAAAATGTATTAGCAGTATTTAAATCGCATGAATCGAAACAAAAGCGCGAAAAGTGAATAAGTATCATATCCATCCTACTGATCTAAGGCGTTTGGGAGTTTGGTTTTGGATGATTTTTAAAAGTACTTACAAACGATTGGGTTGTCGACCCCTGCTCTAGCGCCTTGGATTCGGGAAGTTTGGTTTTGAATGTTGGAATTTGGTTATATGCTCAAGCGCCTTAGGTTACTAATAGCTGGGCAGGGTTCCTATTTTAAAAATACATAATAAATGTCGTGCATTTGTCGTGGTTGTTATACTGCGCATTTATGTTGCGCTTTCGTCCAGCGCGATTTTATTACTGCGCGTTTTTGTCGGCGCGCTTTTGTTACGGCGTCAATTATTATATACAATTTTATTACGCATTGTTTGAACATAATTTTGTATTATTTTAATTTTAATAAATGTAATAAGTAAAGAAAAATATCCTATACTATGAAATATTGGAAGGGGCGTCTTGAACAAGGGCGCCTTGCGTATCAGCGGCAGCACTGAATATATTCTCCCATAACTAACCTAAAGCTGTAAGAAGCGCGAGTGAGTTTAGTGTGAAATTTTCACGCAACGGACGAGCAGTTATATATTTCAATCAATTGATATTCGTAATAATTAAAAGTTATTAAATTAAAGCAATTAACAAAATTATTTACAGTTTCACTAAATGACTATAATAAGTGTAATTTCTTGTGTTTAAAAGAAGAAGTGATTTTTTTGTATGGCTATTTATTGTTTTTCGATTTATGTCTTTTAATTTAGTAATGTATTTTTGATCTCTTTGTTTGCAGCTAATAGCTTAAATTATATCATTCAGTAAATGTTTAGTTAGATCGCATCAAAAGTTGACTTAGTTTTAAAAGATAAATATTTACCATGTTTATTTTTATATATTGGCATCTTTATGAATGAAACATTGGATTCACGTGCTTTATAATAATATTTATTATTTATATTAAAATTGTCTTCGTTTACAAAAGGCTGCTGTTTTTAGGAAATTTAAAATAATTTTTAATTACAGATATATTATTATTGTGTAAGTACTAAATATGTTTAAAATATAAAAAGTAAAATTACGTGACAAGTAATAATGGATTCAACGGACTATGAATCGATCATATTTAATTATAATGATGCTAACGTCACTGTCATCTCCCTTTACATTCCCATTGGATTGGTGGCTTTAATTGCCAATACTCTGGTCATTGCTGTCGTCATTAAATTCAATTACATGCGAAAGTGAGTATTACACAGTTTGTTTTAATTCAATATTAATATTTATTATAGGTCGGACAGATTCACAGACTTCTACATTTTTCTGTGTGATTATATGATTTATTAAAAGTATTAAAACACATTTAGAGCAAGCTGTTTTAATTAATTGCTTGACTAATGCATTAAGAAAGTCTTTTAGGAGGTTTGTTTGTGCACCACAAGTGTTATACAATTGTTTGCTACCACTCATCCATTAATGAACTGATAAAATCACGATTGTTCTGTAAACAAGCAGCATCTTTTTCCATAGCCTCGTTTCAGTATGGTTAAATTTGCCGAAACTGTAATCTGCGCTAATTCTGATCCGTTGCACATAAATGGGTTCGGAAATTTATAAATAAACTAGCACAATGTGCGTCAGGGTTAATAAACACGGTTTTCAAGAAAAATTATGTATATAATTAAGTTATTCGATAAAGCGCTCCATAAACTTCAAAATCTTTAAATTATATTGCAAACACTTTAAAATATGCCTTGATCAATTTCATCGCAACGATGTGAATAATTTATATCGATCATAATAGTTCTAAATCTGGATGCAATTGGAATACTATTAATTTTATTTTATTAATATACATAATATAATACTTACACATGAATTGAGTTACATTATTTTTAATTTTATCTATCAGTTAGATTTGAATATGATTTTAATATAATTTAGAAATTATTTATAATTTGTCACAAATTGGATGTGAGGTAACGATGTATAATTTCATAAAGTAATGTGGGAAAATAAGTAAGGATTGTATGAGATAATGTTAGAAAACGAAGGGGGAAATGATGAAAGGATACTCATTATAGTCGCTTTTTTATTCTAGCGAAAATCAGTCAGTAGATAAAAAAAAAATGAAATGAACGATTGCAAATATGGAACTAATAAACTAGTTGAGTAATTACATAAAAAAGTGTAATGGTCAATAACCTTTAATATTTATATGAGCATTATATTTATTAAAACTTGTTTTGAAAATAGAGAAATATATTAGCTATTCTTAGGTAAATTCAATACATCTGAAGAATATATTTATATATTTTCACATTTTTACCAGTTATTTTGTTTATGAATTATAAATGGAGTCTGCTATTGTGTATACCAAACGAAAATAGAATATCAATGTAAATAATGGTTTGTTAATATTGGAGCATCAACAACGACTTGAAACAAGAATTATATACTTGACAATCTTGGTATGAATGTGTTCTTGCTTGCTTTACTACATGTGTATGAAGCTATTTATGTCGTTCAATAGCAACGAATCGACCTAGTAATAAAACCTACGTACACAATAAGATTAAACTTAATTATATCCATTCTAAGCTAATGAAATATATTTAAGAATACTTTTGGATTAAATCTTTAAAAGTTACAAAATTAATAATTTTATAGATTATCCAAAATATATTGAATAAAATAGGTAGATCATTTATCAAACTGAGAATTTTAGTGGTTAAAAATGGATACAAAGAAACAAAATATTCGTCCTAGTTATAATAAATTACATTATAGTAATTTTCGATTTGATATCCACTGTTGCAAACTTCTATTTTAATCTAGCGCACAATATTAATCTACGTGCAAATGTTCAAATTGTGTAAACATTTATCGAGTAATGTTGAACAGATCTGATCTAATTCTATATCATAAATTATTGGTTTCTAATTATATCATAGGAATTTACCAGGCGAAATTATAAAAAAAAACTATTGTTCAATATTTTTTGTTGCTTAATCATTTCATTAATACAATACAATCAACACTAAGTTAATTAATCTGTTAATTTCCTTTTATATATTTATAATAAAAGATACAAGCAACTTCCATTATTAAACAGCGGTAATTGAAACATCACCAGTGGATAATTGAAAATACTTATTAAGATAATTCCAATTTGAATAGGTTCAATTGATTTTGCTATTCACGCCCATTCCAAACATTTGCAAGCAGTTCAACATAATGTATATTTGTCAATAAAATCAGAATGGTGCCTCGACCCAAGCAACAAACATCCTTTATGACGTCCTTTGAGTTAATGGTATCGATTTTCCGTTTTCAAAGACGTAGTTTAACCTGATCCAAATAAGATTATAATAATCTACTGATAATTTACTTTTGTTCTTTATTCAGTCTAAAGACAAGTAATAGTAATCAATATACTTTATAGCAATGCTCAAGGTTTAGTTTACAATATAAATATTGACTGAGTTAACTAATGCCATTTTTTCTATTTGATTGCAGTGTAACGAACTATTTTTTAGTTAATTTGGCAGTAGCTGATTTACTTGTAACAATTTGGTGTATGCCAAATAGTGCCCTTTGCGCGCTAACACCGATGTGGTTATTCGACAAATTCTCCTGCATAGTGAAGAATTACTTTCAATGTAAGTATGTAACAGCAAGTGCAAAATCTTAAACATTAATCATGTTAATTACTTTTAATAATTTTATGCTCCTAAAATAATTATGAAACTCATATACCAGGGGTGGCCAGACTTTTTGCGCAAGAGCCGCACCTAAACTATTTGGTATAATAATTTTTAAAAATTTCTATCATAATATAAAATATACATATTATTTGTGTTTTGTTGTTTCTTAACTAGACACAACAAGACTCTTGAAGAGCCGCTTGCGGCTCGCGAGCCACAGTTTGGCCACCCTTTTTATATACAAAACTAATTTATTAGTCAATCTAATTTTATTTATATATAAATGAATATATAAATGTTAATTTCAATTGAATAATTGATTAATTGATTAATTATTATAGTTTTAGACCATTTTTTACCATTTAGACCATTATAGTTTTAGACCATAGTTTATGTATACATTTTTCAGGTGTTTGTGTAGCTTGTAGTGTATTCACTATCACAATGATGGCAGTTGACCGATATTTGGCTATAACTCGTCCATTCGGATTTACTCATTGGCTAACAAAACGGTCCACCAAAATCGTAATTGCAGTTATTTGGATATTTTCTGTCGTAATCTTTTCCCCTTTACTGCTAGTATCTAAGATGAAGATTGAAATGATTCCCGTTGCACAAAATATAACTATGAAATTCTGCATAGAGCAATGGTCACAGCTGGATGGATACTTATCGCAATCTGTTTTCGGCCTAATTTCGTTTATTGCGATGTTTGCAGTACCAGGTAAGAAGGAATAAATTAAACAGGAAATCACAAAATATATAAATTCACTAATCCAGGTGTTATAATATTGTATGCGTATTCGATGATGGGAAAAACTTTGTGTTCCGTCCGTCCACCTGTTGATGATAACGACAGTATTGGTACTGAACAGGTATGTTTTTATATTTTTTTATATATATATTAGAATTATTATAATAGTGCGTTTGTTTCAGTCATTCAGGTTAAGAAGAGAACGAAAACGAGTAGCATGGATTCTCTTAATGCTGGTATTGGTTTTCGCCATCTGCTGGCTGCCGTACAACACTATGCTCTTGATCAAGGATATTGCAATCATTGACATGGACGTAACTTTAATGCAATACATGCTGTTGCTAGGACACTCGAATTCTGCACTAAATCCCATTATTTATTTCACTATGTCGCGAAATTTTCGGAATTCTGTCATACAGTTCATGAAAGGATCACAGATCGTCAGTGACAATAGACACAATGTGGCACAGGTAAGCTATTAATTATATATTATTTAGGCTCAAGGAAGTTTATTATAAAATAACACAAACTTATTACATTTTTAACATTAAAATTAAAATTAATGTTAAAAATGTAATAAGTTTGTGCTTAACATACTAATTATTTAACATTTATCATATAACTGCACTTTTAGTAGTGTTAAACTAATTTTATCAATATTGAGAAATACTGAACAATTATTATGTATTGAACATAAATTGATGAACATGTTATATCATTTATCTTTATTATTAGCAAAAATGATTCATTCTTTTTATTATATCCGCAGACTGTAAACATTGCAAGCAATGAACGTTTAAAAGACAGAAATGTAAATAATCTTCTCTTTGTTCTCCATATTATTTGGAGTTGTATAAAACTCATAAATTTTCATAAATTTATTTAAGGTCATTTACGTTTCAAACATTTGCCTTTAGATTTTTGTAGCGGTGCCAACACGTTGGTTGAATTCAAACATTCCACGGAAATCAATCTAATATTCCCACAAACAAGAATTTTATAAAAAAATCTATGATTTTCAAATTTATGTAGAAAATACATAATATATGTATAATATTTATTTCTATGTTCTTTGGAAAATAAATGATTTGATACTTTATAAAAACATAAAATATAAGTTTTTTTTCGTATATATTGCGAGAAACTGTATATCATTCCCGAAGTTCGATAAACACACATTAAGAAACCCTATCAAATACAATGTTATTTTCCTAAAATAAATATCAATTTTTGTTCGCTAAAGTTTGAAACTACGCCTATAAATCACGACTTTCTACCAACGCATCCTAGTTTTATTTGTAAACAAATAACTTTAACATGTAAACATGACATAATAATCAATTGCTTATACATAATATCATGTAATACACACATGTATTGAGTATTAAGGGAATTAATATTTAGAAGTAGAAATAATATAATAAACTTATCGTAGGTTCCGGTATTCGAGTGTATCTGCCAAGAAGTGAAAATAAAAGATACCATTAGAATGCGACCCATTAGATGAAAGGTACAAGAAAAAGAGTACTTTAATTTTGTTATACTTGTCATAGTATTTTCTTTTATTTTATGTTTTTGAATACTTGCATGCGTATAGTAGGAAAAAGAAATTCATTAGTCTGAATTTAGTTGTAGATTTATACAAATTCCCGAGAGCCTACCCTAATTATTTCCGACGAACAGTTGGTAAAATTAATTAAATCTTTTTCGCCAACAGCAATTGAAATTGATGAATTTTAATTGTTTTAGATTTTCAGCAGATGTTCAATAACGAACGGCATTGTTACAGACCATTGAGTATTGTTGAATACTAACAGAATACGAGAATTGTAGATTCTTGAAATAAATCGTAAAGCTTTTTTAGGGAAAAATCGATTAATATATTAATAGATAAAATACACCAGAACTTCAAATCTAAGCCCCCCCCCATTGAAAAGTATTATTCGGACCCCTGAATCGCTCGGGATTTTCCTGAGTAGCGAGTGTCACAGACAAATTTTATAGCAGTCAATTTTTATTTGAGGCCCTCCTTGTTTTTAAATAAAGAAAATCATAAAGCCCTAAACAATAGTTGCAAAAATTGCTGACGGGGTATGGAGTATTGGTTCTCTGAGGGCTATTTTAAGAATATCGTGGGCCCTAGACATCAGTTAGTTTTACTATTTGAGGGCCCTAAACAAATTTTTATTTGACCTCCTCCCTATACATCCTACCAATCCGCATTGTTTGGGGGCCTCCATCTACTAAAATAACTGCTTCCCATTTGCAAATAATATTTTTTTTAAAATAAAGTAAACAAAACAGCAATTTTTATTAACAAAAAATAGGCGGGTTCTTTTGTTAATAAAAACGCCTGATAATTATGCACCAACCCAATAGTTCGACCACTGATTGATTCTATAATTAATATTAAGTTTAGAGTATTTTATGCACAGAACTAACTGGAAAGAAAGACACATATCCTTTGACCAGATTTTAATTAGAATTATTATTTTATGTTTCTTATCATGGGTTAACATGTTAAAAAAAGCTTTCGTCAGTAGTTTTTGTTATAAAATTATAATTATTTAATAATTAGCAGTATTACATATATGTTTAAAAAATAAATCATTTAATTTTACATTTAAATTTGTCTATCTATTAGAAATACGATGTTGGATCTCCAGTCAGAGATAGACCCATTCAGAAGACTGTCAGTAAACTGCAATCCAGTCAGAAGACAACGAAGATATGTACAGTTTAAACCGCAATAATGTACAGGCCGGCCAGATGAGAGTATAATTTGACGTCATAGTACTGGGTTTTTTTAAAGAAATAATGGTCCGGTATCGTAAAGATAAACCTCTGTGAAGAATTAAGGTATTTGGTTTTCTTTTGCAACTTCTCCCGATGAATATATCTACATTCCCTTTATATAAGTATATTGTTAAGGATATCAATTATTGTATTTAATATTTGTTTATTAATGTAATTTCATCACTAAAATATTAATATGTAACATAAAATGCTAAGAAATCGTATGAATAGAAATAATAGTTTATATTTATATCGATTAAAGTGAAATATAATTAATGAAATGATTCATATTATTATAATAGTTTAGCAAAATAAAAATATATAAGAAATATTTATATTGTACTGACAACAAGCAAACGAATAATATTTTTACATCCTTACATTGACGGAACTTCAATTTATTACAGTCTATTAGCCAAAGAAATAATAATTTACAATTTTGACTTGGTAACATTTTTTTTAGTATATTTATTTTCGTATGTTCTTTCCAAGAAACGGATTAAGCATTAAAGTAGAATAAGTAATAAATTGTATCTTAAAAAAATTAGCATATCTTACTATTCAAATTTGTTTCATAATATATTTAGTTATAGAATAGTTCGCCATCTATCTTATTGCGACCTCAAGTTTAACTTTATTTAGAACACATTACTTAGACTATCAAAATATAGAACTGTAAAACTGGTTGCCGTAAAATTATATACTATACATCAAAAAATGTTGTAAATATATTCTCTATTATTTGGTTTTGAAAAACAACTGATTGTATTAATAACTAAAATATTTAAGATCATACATTTATATCTCAGTACACTGTTTAATATATACTATATACTCATTTGAAGCTATATGCTTTACATGATCTACCATTATATTGAGTAGTTGCAAGTGGGTACACTATTTCTTATTTTTTATATTAAATACGTAATAAACAAAATGAGTTCGGGTTTTATAACGGAAAGTGAAGTACAAGAAGTAAGGAAGAAAAGGCAGGAAGAATGGGAACGTGTCCGAAAAGCAGAGGATCCAATAGGTATTTTAATATTGTATGACACAAATCCTAACCACAAACTTTTCGATTTTATTAACAATTTATAACAAATTACTATTACAAATTTTCAATGTACATTTTTTAGAACGTCCAGAGCAACCTTCAGACAACCGAAGTTTGTTTGATAAACTACAGGAACAGAAACAGAAGAAGGATATGGAATATGAAGAAGCACACAAATTAAGTATTAAAAAAATACACCTGTAACAAATTTCCAGACCAACTAAATATTATTTTCAGAAAATATGATAAAAGGCCTTGATGATGATGAAATAGAATTTTTAGATTTGGTGGACCGTAGCAAAATGGCAGCAGATCGTAAAAAAAATTTGGAAGAGCAAAAGGAACTGAGTGATTACAGAAACCGAGTAGCCACCTTGCAGGAGAAGTCACTAGATCAAAAGATACAAGCAGAAATGTCAAAGAGCAAGCCGAAGTCTCAAATAAATAGAAAGTCACAAATAAAACTGCTCCAAGGTGCAGTTGTCAAGAAATCTGAACCTAAAAAACGAAAAATTTCAGAGAGTGAGACTGAAGTGAAAGATAATATTACTACACCATGCAATACTGGTTTAACTTGTATTGGAATATTGCCAGGCTTAGGTTGCTATAATGATTCCAGCTCTGATGAGGATGAAAGCTCTTCAGATTTTGATGAAGATATTCATGATGGAAATGTTAAAAAGGATTTGTTAGGGAGAAAAATTATCAAAAAGGATGTTACTGAATAAATTTCTGTTTAAAAAGAAATATTGTATTAAGTTGCTATATATGTGTAATTAATCTAAATAGCTCCATATGAATTTGGAGATACACTTTATAACATATAACAAATGTATATGCTAGAGTTTACAATTTATTTTAATTATATTATTATTAATAAATTTATGGCGTACAATTAGAATATATATATAAATAATAAAAAAATATTTATTGCGAAAATTATTTTTTTACTTTACTGAAACATTTAAATACCGCTTTTCATACTTACAGACTTCGTCGCCAGGGGGATTTGCCGACGAAGTGTGCAAGCTACCTTATTGATCTGATTTTTAGTACACTCTGTAGCAAATAGTAAGACAGGGTTGTATTTGATCACAAATTACTTCGAAAATCATCCTATATTTGAAATAAATTAATAAAATATAAAAATGTATATTGACACAAAAAGTAAATAAAAATATATACGCATTTATAATGAAAGAAAATGTAAATAGATATTGAGCATAGAACGTTTGCTCCGACATTAATGTTAACCATTTTAAATGTATTCTAAACAAATTAAGAAATACGATAGTTTCTAGTAATAAATAACAATTTTATAATTTACCAAAATTTTGCATTCGGCCTTTTGAATATAAAAAATTATAAATATATTCAAATCACTGCGGACTACCAAAATTCTCTCACGGACCACCAGTTAGCAACCGCTGTTTAGAGTTTATAAATGAAATACTTTTATAGTAATTATGTAACGAATTAAGTATTTGTAAAATATACAAATATTGAAATGCTTTCTGGATAGGGAAATTTTAGTGATACGGTCCTGGTTCACGCAGGATTGAGAGTACGCGGACGCTGAGAATGTACCAATTTTCCGAAGACCACTCCGCCGCCGAGATGGAAACGTTGAAATTTTAATTTCCACCTGAAGATCCGAAACTTGTAAGTGGATAATCCTAAAATTAACATGTATTTATTGAGCTAACCGCGAGTGAAGATAGTTGTCGAAATTCGAAAAGAATACTGAATAACGAAGAAGTTTAATTGTGAAAAATCAAGTAGTTCATTTTCCTGCGTATTGATCTTATCCCAATTTCCGAATCCATCTCGGCGGTTTTCTTCAGCGATGTCGAAATTCGGTAACATCCATTTACCCCCTTTGGGAAACGCGATGAACGTGGCGTGGCAAACCCTTCGGCAGCAAATGCCGGATAAGAAAGGGACGCCCAGCAGCACCCCCGGTGAACGGGTGCACTTTGCGCAATTGAACAATGAAATACCTAATCAAGGATCAATTGAACACCATGAACTAAGCAATATGACCAGTACAAATCCATTCCGACAAGCGGCTTCTGCAGAAATTGCGCAAGCAGAGGATTCTTTCAATTACCCCATTAACAGGCAGGTTTCTCACGTATCATCCATATCCGATGATGATTTTGTTGAGGGAAAGAGTGACATTAAAATCAATGAATATCAGGCCGCATGGAACGTGACTAACGCTATTCAGGTAGGAATATATTACATGATTTTATTATTCATTATTATATTGTATTTTTGTGTGTGCTTTGTAGGGAATGTTTATCGTTTCGTTACCTTTCGCCGTACTTCGCGGAGGATATTGGGCGGTAGCTGCTATGATAGGAATTGCGTATATCTGTTGTTACACCGGAAAAATATTGGTTGAATGCTTATATGAGTTTGATGTACAAACTGGACAACAGGTCAGGGTTCGCGATTCTTATGTCGGCATTGCTAAAGAATGTTTCGGTAAGAAATACGGAGCGAAGATAGTCAACATTGCTCAAATAATTGAACTTCTGATGACATGCATACTGTACGTCGTTGTCTGCGGAGATTTAATGATTGGAACATTTCCGGACGGTGCCATTGATACTAGAAGTTGGATGATGCTTGTGGGAATATTTTTAATTCCTTTAGGTACATTAGTTGATATAACTAATTAAGACCGTTTACTAATTAAAATCGTTCACTTATTGTTTAGCTTTCCTGAAGTCCCTGAAAAGTGTTAGCTTGTTGTCCTTCTGGTGCACGATGTCACACATTTTCATCAACGCCATTATTCTCGGCTATTGCTTATTGGAGATCGGAGATTGGGGATGGAGCAAAGTCAAGTGGACCATCGACTTTGAAAACTTTCCTATAAGTTTAGGAGTAATTGTCTTTTCATACACGTCCCAGATTTTCCTGCCGACTTTGGAAGGCAACATGGAGGATCCTTCCAAGTTTCAATGGATGCTTGATTGGTCGCACGTTTGGGCGGCTATTTTCAAAGCTCTCTTCGGATACGTCTGCTTCTTAACATTCCAGAATGATACGCAACAGGTGATCACTAATAATTTACATTCCGCTGGATTCAAAGGATTAGTGAATTTGTGCTTGGTAATTAAAGCCCTGCTAAGCTATCCACTACCTTACTACGCTGCCTGCGAATTATTGGAGCGCGCATTTTTTAAAGGTAAGCCGAAAACAATTTTTCCCTCGATCTGGGCTTTGGATGGGGAACTCAAGGTATGGGGATTGGCTTGGCGAGTCACGGTAGTTATATTTACCATATTGATGGCCTGCTTTATTCCGCATTTTTCGATTTTGATGGGATTCATCGGCAGTTTCACGGGAACAATGCTTAGTTTCATTTGGCCGTGTTACTTTCATTTAAAATTGAAAGGACAGACCTTAGATAGAAAACAAGCTGCTTTCGATTATTTTATTATATTTTTAGGCGTTCTGTTTGCCATCATTGGTATGTATGACGCAGGTATCGCTCTCATTAAAGCCTTCTCCATTGGTTTACCGTTTTAAAATTCAATTTTTGATGTGCGTTTATCATTTTATTTCGTAATATATACATTGGGAAATGGTTATATGATTATAAAATATAATTTTAATTAATATAAGGCAACGAAGTCTTCCAGTAACTACTTAAATGCCTTCAAAGTCTTCCAAATTAAGGATTTTAGTCATTTGCTAAAATACAAAATGAGTGGCACAAAATTATATTTTGTGAATATGAAAATATTTTATTACTAATATAGATCAAATTCAAAGACGTTCGATATTAACACATATATATATATATATATATTATACATATGAAGTATCCATTCAGAATATATGACAATAGTAAATGTATTTAAAGAGCAATATCAATTATTATATTAATGTATAAGAGGGTGGAAAAACTGCGGTCAATATCCCTTTGTATCTAGTTATACAATAAAATTTGTTTATTATTAATGTATAAGAATGTTAGAGTTAGTGACTAAAGTCTTCCAAGTTAAATAATAATTCCAAAGAATTAATGTCTTCCAAATAATCTTAAATATAAATATATGTTATATAATGCGTGTTTACAACAATGTAGGGAACGTAATACACAAATGTATTGAAATGTATTTTAATTCGTTATTATTTTCAATAATATTGCGTATTACATAAGTGACCGTGTTCAAATTAGGAAAACATTATTAAACATTAGATAATTAAGCGGTCGAAGGTTTACTTCTGTTTTTGTAATCATTTATCAAATATTATCTGTGATTGTTCAAAATCCTTACATATACATGTTAATACTATACAAAGTAATCCTGTAAAGTGTATAATATGTAGCTTAGATTGAGATATGTGTCAATGTAACATTTCGTTTTACATGTTTATGTAGCTATTTAGGTGATCCTTATATGTATGACAAAATATCAATAAACTTAAAAGCAGATTGTCAGATTTATTTTATTTTCTTAAAACCTAATCTTCGAATATTAAATATATGATTATGTATTTTAAATAAAGACGCAAAGGTTATTTGAATTTGTTTTGGTCTTATTATTATACTAACAGTTATTTTCCATACTATAATACAAATAACCCACGCCTCTCTTTTGATTATAAATTACATTTTCTTCAATATCAGCTACATTCAGACCAATCAGGGTGTACCATTAGTGATTGGTTATTTTTCATTGATAGCTATTGGTTAATGTTTGATTATCCACCATTTTGCATTTTTATTTTTGCAATCGAGAAAATATTATTATTGTAAGGTAAATGGTGCAAAATACTTCAGTTACTTACCTAAATCTGCATGATTGACAATATTGATTTTTGTTCTTCGGACGCATGATAATACTTATACAGTGCAACTATTTCATACTAGGTGGAGCTTCATACATGTAATGAATATTATTGAAGTAAACTAACATTAAATGCTAAATCATGTTATTCAATATTAATTGTATCTACAAATATTGATTTATATCTTTTAATGTTTTAGTAAATGGAATAGTTTTAAATAGTAATATATCAGTTATTCAAAAATAATACAATATATTTTGAATATTATAGAATATGGTTATAATAAAATAATCATTGGAATTTTTGCCAAGAATTTATTATTAATATATATCGTCTATAAATATTTTTTGTTTCGTTGACTTGAGAAATTCCAACTGAAATATACGTGCCAACTGTTCTAATATTAACTCGAATAAGTAATTTACCTAGATAATTATAATAGAGGATATTATTTTTTTATACTCAAATTTTCAATGTTTACCCAAGAAAACATTCTACGTACTATAAGAATATATATTCTCAATTTATTTAATATTTGATTACTGTTCAGAGCCCTTATCTGTGTTAATGTATTCGAGGAAATATTAATTAAACTATATATTAGATTGAGATTTGTTTACGCATTTGAATTGATATGAAATAAAAAAAATAATGGTTACTGTTGTAGTAGAATAAGTAGACAAGTTTATGATCGATCAGCACTGTCCGATTAAATATCAATTAATTATCGGTACATAGAACTGATAAACACTATTTGTACATGAAACCCGGCAAAACACAACGTGAATGCGAATTGTTGATGGGACAACGAGGGACAAATGTAATTTAGGAGTAAAAATCCATCCAATAAAAGCGGAATTAGGAAATTCCGAAAAGCTCGGATTTCAAAAGAAAAGCTCCGCTTTAAAATTTATGCTACGGTTGTTAGTCCGCTTTGTCGGCATTGTCCTTCTCGTGTCGAAAAGGACAATGAGCGCCGTATGTGGTCGCGCTCTGCTCATTGATTTGGGGTGGAAGAACGATCATACTTGAGGTTTGCCAAAAGCTGCACGTTATATGTGACAGCTCATGACTTTTCGTCCATTGTTCAGTTGGCGGACGTAAATAAACGGAGGTATAATTATTCGTGAGATTAAACCAAAGCTGTCGCCCATACATTAGACTGTTTAATTTATTTTTTATCCTTTTGTAAAATGGGTATTGCTGCGGTCTACAAATGCGATCATCTGAGTAGGTTAAGCCTCGGTCCTTTGGGTAATATATAATAGGCTGATCATGTCGAGATGATTTTGAATGAGTGCAGGATAATTGGAAATTGGGTATTAATTTTATTTTTAATTGGTGTATTTCCATTCACGTATTGTTTTTGCTGCCGCATCATTTTTATTGATATCATATAAGTTATTAATTAATTTTAATTAACTGTAAAGCTATATAAAATAATAATAATCATGTACATATACATGTACACATTTTATATGTAACACAAGATTATATATTTCATTTTCTTTAAATATATGCTAGTTGAGAATAATACCTTCTCACAAGTACTCTACTGTAATTCCATGATACGTTTTAAGTGTAAGTAATATATATTTCAGATTATTCGAAAATCCTCTCAACACCATGAATCAATTATACGTGTTTAGCTCGTTTGAAATATACGTATACTTTTGTAAGTGATAGATAACAACAAATCCCTTGAACTGCCCAACACACACGCCCCATCTATTGAAACTAATTACATGAGACCCCGAATACAATCATTTCAGTGTGAATTATTAAACGTGTGTTTGGTAGGTAGAGTCACGTCGGTAGACGAGAATATTGATCTTCGTGTTGTATGTAAATTTTATAATGTAAAAAGTTTTTGAATTCCGGTTGAGTTTAAATGGCTTCACGAGAGGATACAAGAAAGTATTAATGGGCCCCTAAAGCCATAACAATATAAGGAATGAATGAACCACAACAATCAAAGGGGGAAACTATGATTTTTATTCGTTCTTTTGAAAACAACAGTATAAAATGCGAGGTATTATAAGTGTAAGTATATATATATAGAAAGAAAAAAAAACGTAGTTTGAATTTAATAAAATTGAGTACGAGTATTCATGTGGGATTCTGTTAGACAAACCGAAAAGATATTTGTGAGAATTAATCGTCTGATTAACGTACATACTCTGTATACAATATGTTCGTTAACTGAGCACTAACTGTAGACACTAAGGGGTGTTTACTGACACATACACAGAGATACAAATATTTTGCTAGGGCGATTCCATTAAGAGCATGTCTTGTGTTACTAGCAACATTTAATAAGACGTTTGGCGCTGACACTAATTCTTAAATAAAGAGAATGTTTCGACGGAGGACGGTGCTGGCTGGCTGGGTTCTCCGTCTGTGTTTGCGTGAGTATCCCATGGTATTGGAGCGGATGAAATGTGATCCCATAAAAGCGATATAACCGAGGGACAAAAACCTCTGCTATCGTTCTTCAGTTCTTGGCTACACGACGAGTCAGCAGCGACACACGTGTGATGACTCTCATTCCGTTTAATTATCTCTTTTAATTACAAGATTTTCCCCTAACACCAATTATTATAATTACATATCATAATTGATGCGCGTGCACATAATTCACAAACGCGTATTATTTTAATTAATTTTAAAGTTTCTGATATGTCGAACTAATAACTACAAAAATTACCTTTATCAAACCGAAATGATATGCCATCTCTCAGATGTAAAAGACAAAATAACTATTGGCTGTTGGCAGTTTCTTAATGACTCCATTATAAAATTAATGTGTGATACTGGAGAAAATTAAAAGCCACATTAATGAATAAATCTAGAGTTTTAATCTGACAAAACAGCATACAAACAAGTTAGCTACGTATTTTTATTAAATGAAAATTTGTGGAGAGTTCTTCATAAGCTGATAAATCTCCGCTCTGTAAACCAAGCCAACTAAACGAACATTTACGTTCTAATTTCCGTTTTTCTCGTTGTTTTAATGTACTCTATCGTTCCGTGTATACGCTGCGTCGTGAAAATATTTTCCGCCCACTCAAACAGTAGTCTATACGTGCAAATGTATGTGTAGATGAGGCGTTAATAGGATATTCATGTATGCATGAGTTTGCCTTGTTACATAGTGTATGTGTGTAATCAGTACGATCACTAATGAAGATGTAATGAGCCCCTAGTGATCGTAGAAATCTATGAGGAACGCAGACGCATTCGTCCATTTCTAACTTGGTAACGATCTTTCGTCGTTTACAGCGTACATTTTTTCAATCAATATCATGTTTTATATACTTGCTTAAATCTATTAATTGAAACTAAAAGGCATTTCTGCATATAGTATATATAATTATTTCAATTGTTAAAGTAAGGTGACAATGCAGTATGTCTAGTAGTTAAGAGTGCGTTGACTGTAATAATACTGATGTACCTCTTGAGGAAGGGAAACGTACCTTTTGGGTATACATTAATCACTATTGAAAAATGAATATTGTTGGAAAACAGATTTTTATATATGCATAAAAATACAAATATCCATAAACTATTTTGTTTGATTTTTTTTTAGTTATTAATTAGAATTTCAATTACCAAGTGTGCACATGAAAGTTTGAAAGCTTAACACTGAAAAACTTCATGGACAATATTTACAAACACGATGGACTTATGTATTTCTAGAGTTTCTATTTCTTAGAAATGACTGTGTATTTAAGCTGTGTGGGTGATGAAATATTAATATGGGAAATGTTTCCCGTGCGAGAGGCCCTTGCGAAGGTTGTATTTCTTTTATGAGAAGGGATGCGGACCGGAAGAAGGCGCGTTTACACTATATTGAAAAAGAAAGGGCCTCCAGGTCCGGCCGCTCGCGATTTACGGTTTCCCGTGCACGTAAATCGCAAAGTTGTTGGGCCGTAACGGCAGCAGTTTTTAACAGATAGCTCATTTGTCATTTGCGATATCTGGATGGTAGCTTGGAGAGAGTAATTGCACGAATTTTCAATGCAAAATTTATTCGGAACTCACCCTCAGACGCACACACGCATTCCGGAGATACTTTCAACATTTCTTTGCGAACCCCTCTCGAGATGAGTTATCGATTTTCGAAGAGGACCTATTAATAAATCCACCCACACTCATCTAAACATGTATACACACAATGTGCACCTACATCTACCCATCTTCATCGAAACCAACCGTAGGCGTCAAACTTCGTTTTTGCCTTTTTAACGCTCGGTTAACTTGTATACTTTGCTGTTTGTTTCACTGGACTATCACATATTTTGCGCAATAGACCACATATATAAATATACAGTAGATTGAGAAAAACTTAAATAAATAACAAGTAAAAAAAGAAGAATCCAGCAAGTAACGACGCTCACGAATTTAATTTGGTAATATCTATTACGATTCTCAAATAATCATACTTCAAGTAATTCTCGTTGAATAAAAACAAAAAGTTTGCAAAGATTCGTTTATTAAAATTAAAAATCATTTGCATCTGAAATTGGAACGATCTTTCCAAATATTTGGAATATACAACAACAAGGTGTGATTCCGTTTTAAAATAGGATCACTTAATTAGATAGGTTGTTGAGTCAGGATAGCGGCGGCGTTTTTGAGATGAGCCAGAAATAAACGTTTCCGTTTCCGTTTTAGACTAGAATTCTTTTCAAAATGTCGCTAATTGATTGCATTTCCAGTGCATCTTAAAACCATTAAGTTCCTCGGCAATTATTCATTCTACCAGAGGGAGGCAGGCTGGTGGGAGCAGTCATTCTCTGCGCATGGAATTTTAAGAATTCTTTCCAAAAATACCTTTTCAAACATGTACTAAAAATAGTTAATTTTTATACTCAGCATATATAATATACAAACTTTATCATAAAATATTATCATTGTATAGAAATCAAATAATTTATTTTCCATATTTTAATAGTAATATCGTTTCAGGTACAATACATTTTCCAATATAAAAAATAAACATTTGTGTTTTTCTTTATTGGTTTACTAAAATATAAACTATAAATACAATAATGTACAGTAAACATTTTGGTAATATTTAATGGAAACTAAATTTTAGATCGGAAAGCAAATTTTATAAGAAATATCAATTATAATTAGAAATTAATTAGTATTATGTAACTGGATTTATAATTTTGTATTTATTTATAAAATTACTCTAATTTAGTGAACATGGCTAAAGTCAAAATATACTTTTAACATATTGCTATAGAATTTCAAGAATAACAATGGCAGATGCATGTTGTATAGTGTGGAAGGGCTACGGAGAAGCACGATCTGAAAAAACAAATGATGAGAGCACATAAAGGATGTTACTGAATTACAGATCTTTGCATCTATTAATAAATAACGTTAAAACAAAATGATATGCTAGAAAAAATGATGATGATAATTGCATGTAACAGTTAAAACAAACATAAATTGTTGATAAGGCACGGAACGTCAGCTTTGCATAAGTGCGAAACTGTTTGCAATTGCACTGTGGACTTCCTGATGAATGGTTTGCAAAGTTGCAGTGGAGTTGAATGGCATAGACAGTCACGAACGCCCCCACGGCCCTTATTAACAGGAAACGAATGCATCTGCGCCACCTAAGAATTGATTAATTGAAATATCATGGCAGCGTGGAAGTGTCCGTTTACGGCGCAAAAGGCGCTGGGATCATTGTAAACGCTGGAATATCATATGAATCTATTTGCAAAATAACATCTCTACATGCGAGCAAACCCATGCATCTATATCCATCCGTATATGTATACATTTCAGAGGTTACACATATTTGAATGTGTTGAATACCTGGTATGATAAAATGGACACACATGAATAGGTGGCGATCCGTAAATTCACAAAATATTTCACGTGTTTAGAGAGATGGAAATTCCCATCATTGTTGAAGTTTAAATGCGAACCACTAAGCAAACTTATAGCCCATGATATTTTTTCATATATTAAATATTGAGCTTCTACATTTAACCGATATTATTTAGTATTTATTAATTCAATTTTCCCATGGTTGCAGTTAACCTCCCTAAACCTACCTAGTTTTATGTGATGGCCAATCTCGAGTTTAATATTGAACTCTATTGAAGGAACCGTTCTTGCCAAAACGTGCTCATTAATTCATAATAGATTCTCAAATTTTCAATGATTAATTAATATCTTTCGACTAATACAATTTGTCTAGATAATATATAGTCACCTAAACTTCGTACTACAACTATTATTGCAACACTTATCACCGAACTTTAAGCTATTAGTAATGTCGGCAGTTAAGGCGAATTGGAAATGTAATTAATTATTCTATTTAGTAATTTTCAAATTGCCTTTACTTATGATTTCCTATTATTCGCAAAACAATTTTTGTGCAAATCTTTGTATATACACGACATAAAATGTTGATGTGATTTCACACAATTTAAACTAAAGTAAATATTATCAAAAAACGTGTATTCTTCAATATACGGGACAATTTCATCGTTGTATTAAAAATAAACATCTCGGAATTCCCGGATAAATTTTAATTCGTAAGTAAAATTGTAAAAATTACTGTTGTTAGATTGATTACCTTGTGTACGTTCATTTTTTTAGTTTTTTTAAGGTTTGTCTTTTAAGTAAATATGATTTTGTTTATGATTGAAATGACAATAATTGAACATCGCATTCCTATGCAAACAAATCGTAAAGTTTGGAGCGGAAATTGGCTGAAGGGATGTCCTGCAATCTGGGGATGAAGAAGCGAATAAAAGGAGGAGGAGGAGCGGCGTTCACTTTAAGGCGAGATAATTGAATTCCATTTTCCCCAACACTTTTCCCAAACTCGATTTTGCTTATTATTCAAATGTATTTAAACACGAGCCGAGATATAATGAACTTTCCAATGCGAAGTTAGTGCTAGTTTTAAAACCGCATTAAAATTAGACCATCAGCTGTTTCGAAAACTATTTCCACTGGATGTTTGTGGCGCGCATCTATTTCACTATGTTTTCATATGAGATGGCCAAAAATAGTATACTGCTTTTATTGGATTTTTGACGACATTCGTATATATTTTATGCTTATCGTATAGAAATAAACTTTATTTTTTACACGCATTTTCCATCTATTTCCTTTTCATACATTCCTGTCTATTAAACACGCGGTTCGTCCTTTTTTCAAACATCCGCTTCAAGGTTACTACAAATAGTCCCTGTTTTATTTTTATTTTCTAGACAATAATATGGAAGCCTAGCATTATTTGTTTTGTTACAAATAACGTATCTCAAATAATCAATGAAAGCACAAGGAACATTACTTTTTTTTTATTTGTTGCAGTATTAATTTGTCTATAGTAATAATAACATTTTTTCTGCGCATTCGTTGAAACACATCAAACTTTAAACAATTAATTCGTGATTTTCACGAAACATTGTTTTTGTAGTCATTATTATAATTGAATTGATTTCATGATAATTGTTGATATACAGTCCAACTGCACGACCGGTCAATCAAATCAAATATATAAACATAGTATTATTTCATACAATTCCTGGCCCCCTTAGACTACAAATATGACAAGTCGTTCGCGACACATTTTTAAAACAAAAAGTAAATCTTCTGTACACAAAAGTTGGCCATCCCTTTTGTATAGTACTAGTTGAATTAATTCACATTCTTTTTATTTAAATATTTAGTTTTATTAAAAAAACATCATATTAAGGTTTAGAATAAATAATAATAATTGTATTAATATCCGACATATATTAAGGATATGTTTATTTTTTTTAAAAGCAAAACATTGAAAATGTTTGGGACGCAGTTATTGTTTTGATTTGGAAAGGAATTTTTGTAAAGGCGATGTCAATCCAAAAATTCGTTTTCCTGTAAATAGAATGATGTACGATCGCGGAGCGGTTCTAAAAATAAAAACCCCGCAAAACGAAAATAAAGAAAAAATACATTTGGAGTAGGAGTCAACACCGAAACTACGCGCTCAGCATTTACAGGGTTGACTTAGGAGTTTAGTAGCGTCGCGCACGACTTTGGTCACATATGTTTTAAGCAAGTGTAATGTATTTTAAGCAAATCGTCGCGTTCATGGTGAATCCAACGTGAAAATATTATGGGATAAATAGGACCTGGTGCGAGCTGGGCATTCGAAACATCAAGATGGACAACCTGAGGATCGAAGTCGCATGCAGTTTGATGATCATGAACATAGTGGTTTCCGGTATATTAGCATCTCCTGGACCAGGAAAGTCGAACTTTCAAAACGGTAAATAATCCTTAAAGCCCAATTGAACTGAAATTCCAAGAGTTGAAGACTGTCGGTGGCGCGTATCTTCATAGTAATTTGAACGCGACCAATCTTAATCAACGTCTCCGCAGTGCCCTTAATTTAATCATTTTTGTAATCTCGAAGTGACTCAGCCGAAACAATTGTTCAGGCCTCTGAGTATCCCCCTAATCCAATTATTCCGCAACTTTTCTGGCGAATACACGCACACGGAATTATATAATGCAAGTAATTGATGATTTCATTTGCGACAAGAAATTCGCGTCGCGTCTTTTGCAATCTCCGACAACATTTAAATTGGATTACTAAAAATTTAATGAAAACAAAATACCAGTTATTTCCATCCCTACAGAATTGTAACCCGTCGCAATTCTATACTACAGAGGCACATTCGATTCCAAATGAGTATGTTTATTATACATATGAAAGGAAACAGAAACATGTTCTTCTGCAATACCGCACATTGTGTGTGTAAAAAGGTCAAGTGCTTTGACTCACAGCATCGAAACATGACGCAAATACACACCAAAGCACACATTGTTGTACGGATGGAATAACACACAGTACATTTTTCATAAATTTCAACTGTAATATTTAATCATTGTGGCAATTAGGGATAGCTGGATTTTGGAATGCGTGAAATAATAATTTACGTTGGAAATATTTAATTCTACCTTGTGTAGAGAGCCAATAATATTTTTTTTTTAAATTGAAGTGAATATAGTTCCATTAAATTTTAATGAGCAAATACATAATGCATGATATATTGGCTGCAATCCATTGAATTCTATTTAATTGAAATTGCATCGATGCCAGAACCAATCGAAAACGAGTAATGCGCTTGTACAAAATTGAACGTTGGAATTATAGTATATTTTTATTTGCGTCAAGTTCCTTAATTTACGTAATTGAAATCGGTGTATGAGTAACGACTGCAAGGGATGTACCTATGTTAAACAGAATTGGAACATTTATATTAAAATAGATACACTATATAAATATCTGGTCTTTAAATCAAAATATTCCAGACGCATCGCTTATACTAGGTCAGTGTAATAATAATAATAATGGTATTTCTTATAATAAAACATTACACGATATATAATTTTAGAAACAGCGGGAAGTTTATACTCTACAATAGGTCGCTTTAGTTATGTAATTGAAACATTCTTTTAGAAAAACCAAAACGGTGCATATGGTTGCGGTGAGCAGGTTTTTCAATTAAATTGTCAGCATATGTATTTTTCTCTTTACTAATGGAACGTCTTATGTGAAAATTTGAAACTTGTAAATTATCCAAGAATTATTTTTTTAATGTCATTATAGTAATATAGAAAAAATAATGTAATTAAGTATTTAATGTAATGTAATAAGTATTTCAATAAAATAATAATATATGGAAGTTGGTGAATTTATATGTATAAAAACTTTCAACGTCTTGATATATTTAGAAAATCTCAGTCTGCTGGTGCTTAAAGTTTTAATACTTTTATGTTATTTTAGACAAACTTACAGGTTTAACGGTGACTTCTTAATCAAAAATTTGTACTTAAATCTTAATATCGGTTAGCTTTGTAAATATTTTTGATTAACAAATATGAGCAATATTTTGTATATTTTTTAGGCTTATAATTAAAAACATATGAAATTTAATAAAGCAGAGAAGAAATTTTTAGTAAAAAAATATAATTTTATCAACATGGTCTGCAGTATAATTGGAATAATTGTCGCTAATTAATTAATAAAATGTCAATACAAAATTAAATATTATTAAAAACTTAAGAAATAATTTGTAGTTTCTCTTATAATATTTTTTCTTGTAAATTAACAAATATTTGTATTGTCAAAGTATTTGATAGGTTTATTTGCTTGAAAATATGTGCGTGCATCGAATACTTTTTGAATATAAAACAAATTATTGTACTTTACAGGTATAAATTTAGATGTAAACGTTAGCACGTGATAGCGTTTAGTGTCAAAGCCAGTCAAATCTACAAGTAGTGAAACTACATAAAGGTGCACGCGCTTGTCATCGCTGACATTTTTTCACGCCCGAAGAGGGACGTGGGGTGCGATGGAGTCAGTTTTGAGGAGCGCGAGTCTATTTATATAAAACACGCAATCTATTTTAGGTTCACAGTAAACTTGATTTTGCTCGGAAAACTGTAAGGGAGCGGGATGGTAATAATTCCGTAGTTCTTCTACTTTCGTCTCGGCCGTTCAGCTCAGATTGAATTTGTTCTTGAGAGTGGATTGAGGAATTGGGGACTAGCACGGGATATAAATCTTGACAAATTAAGCTTGTTTCTTGCATCGGCACAATGCACGTCACCGTGTTTATCTCGAGGATTACGATTCCAATGTCCAATTGGTCTTCGGTTCTATCCTTTAGCTAAAACTTTATATTCTCCAGGCGCTATTGCTTAAGTGATTTATTGTAGTTTCGAATCGTTTCTATCTAATTTACTCAATTCAGGTTAATTTTTGTAATTTTGTTATTGTAATCCCTTCATAATAATTAAAATTATTCAGGTATAAAAACTACGATATTAAAGTATTTATTAAGTCTTAGTTTGATTTTTTTATATTGTTATTAAATAAAATAGAAACATAGCCTTAATAATATACAACACATGTAAATACATTAAAGTAGATTTTCATTTTACAGCCACAACGGATTAACACGATATTTTGCATTATTTTCATATCTACTCCAATTAAGTTAGAATTATTAGAAAACTCAAGCACAATAATTATTATCTTATGTTTGTATTTGTATGTTTGAACTAAATTAATACGAATCCATAAATCCATGATAAGGACAATTGGCAAGGTAAATTGGATGTAATTTGCCAAGTATATCCGCGTGCAGATATGAGCAATGAAGACGTATTGCCGTTCTTTGACATCCGACCATAATTAATGATTTTCCCAGTTTTATGGACGAGCAAGTTTGCGGATGAATCCATCCCCTGCAACTCGGAACATCAAAGCGCACCTCCAATTCCTATTTTTTTCCTTTCCCCTTCTCGATACATTTCATTATATAATGTTCAATGGGAATATACGCAATCAAAGAATCGAATGATGAAATTTTAAATTCGTATCTCCTCTTTGTGCTCCCAGTTTTCCTTTAATCTTCCGTCTAAAGAGCTCTGTGCAATTATCTACGAGGCTTTGCTGGACTAGTTACATCTATATATTATGAATGACGCTTCGTTACTACAAAGATAATAAACGTTTCGTGAGAAGTGCTCATTGTATGACATAGAAACCCGGCGTGCACAAATATTATTCCAGATTTATAATGAAGATCCGTTTATTTTTCAGCGGTTTTAATAAACACATTATATCATTGCTATTGCGTCTTACATATATATCAATTAAATTAATTGCGTAATATCTTATTAGATAAAATTATTTTTTCATTAGTACACTGGGTGCAATGGATTCATAATATTTGAGAACCTAGAAATTTTAAGTACTGAGTATTTGATATGTTAGTTAACACGTTAGTAATAAAATGACTATAATTGTAAAAATAATTACTAATAGTGGTAGGACTTGGTTTATTGATGATCATGAAAGTTAAGCAACTCCTGGCACCTATAAAACTTTAATTGGTATTCTTTGTTTAATGTTGGCTCTAAGATTTATTAGAATAACATGTTTTTCACCATTCTTATTATTATAATATACAGCACATACAGTATAATAATGGGTTTAAAATTGAATTGTGATGTTGATCTTTTTTCTGTTGTTGAGGGATGTATATTATGTTATGATAGCAAAACCTTAGTCTTTAATCAATCTTAATACAGCATACATTGTAATTATACAGCTATATGTAATAAGTGTTTAAATTAAACACTATTATTACTACATTGAAACTGAGGTGGGATACAAAGCATGCGGTCTGTTTATTGTTTAGTTGATGACTTTATGACGGTTTAAGCTTCAGTACCATTGTTCATTGCAAAAACGGACGAATGGATATAATGCACATGCATACGAATGCCTCAGTTCGCTTGAAAGGAGTATACTCTAAGTGAAACGTTTGCTGCCGTACATAAACTTTATAATTTCTGTAACTTTACATATTCCAACAATTTGGAAAGTTGCAGTGCAGCGAACAGTGAGGGCCCTTTTTGGATTCTTAAGAAGCGCAGATTCTTCGTCGTCATGAGCAAAGTTTTGCTTTGTTTCGGTTTTATTTACCGTCCGTGTTTCTGTTTGGACCCATCATTTTCATCGGAGACGTTAATTAATTTTAAAATCGGTTTAATGCCGGAACAGTATCGGATCTCCTCTGCCTGTCTGCGGTGCTTAACGCAGTATTATTTAATTTAGATTATCTTGTTGCGACCGACGGAGCACTGGGTCCGGTAATTAACAAGGATTCCCAGATTATTTAATCCAATTTAACGCCTGACCTGTGTGTAAGACGTTGCAAAACGCCGCAACGGCATGGAATTACGTGCAAATTTGGCAGACACAATTGAAAACGACTACTATTTACGACCTGCATACTACGGGCATAACGCACCGCAACGGTAATGCATTTCAAGCGGGTGTAGATGCGATGCCATGGACTTGCACATAACATACGATCCTGTTTTCATTTCGTCCAGCCTCTCTTTTATTTATTTTTGATTTTACCTTTCAGACGGAAAATAACCAACTTTTGATGCAATATATATATGAATACAAACATTGAAATAACGAAATTGAAATTTACCCCTGGGACAAACAACAACAAATTGGAACATCCAATTTATAATGCTACAAGTAAATTTATTGTTTTTAACATACATATATTATACAACAGCGTTTGTCAACATTTTTGCCGCGCGACTCAACATTTTTGTTTGTATTTATAATGCGACCTAATTGACGCAATGTGACATCAGTCTCTTTGCGACCCATTACAAATTTAACGCAGTACACTATTGATAAACGCTGCTATACAATATTCAGTATTTATACAATTGGAAAAGGATTAAAGCAGATGATTTGAAATAGTCACATATATAGACGATAATTGTATTGCATACATACATAAAACATATATACAATTGACCGCATATTGATTGCTCTCTTTCAACTTCCGTTTACTTATTCAATCTGAATTAATATCGACAGCTTCAATATAATTTATTTCATAAGAACCTTCTTAATTTGGCTATTAAAGTATACTCGTTTTAATAAGATTAACATACATTACTTATATGTAAAATTTTATTTTTATATTGAACAAGAATTTAAATGTTTTATTTTTATTTTCACAAACTCCTTAAATTAATTGTTTGAGTAAAGTCTGGTAAAAAATAACCAGAAAGAATATTTGTGTTATTAATACATTTATATTTAAAGTTAACCGGATTCCATGAATATACGTATAGCATCTGAAAGAAAATATTTATCACCATACTCAAAACTTAAATGTTAAAAATAATACTATATGTTCATTTAGAATGTAATGTACTCGATCTTGTAAATTTTTTTAGCTTATCCATAAATGGTCAACTAAATCCTCCATGTTTCCAACTATTAAACACTGCACGCGTAATTAAAAACTGTCTCAGCAAATGCTGTTATAATTACTGCAAAAAGCTTACAATTCCAACCGCCCGTCGCATTCCATTCGATTTAATTTAATTTAAAGGCACGATCGTAAAATGTTTACAGCCGTAAAAACATTTTAGGACGCATCATGTTGCTAAAATAACTACCGTGCCTTCATGTTTTCGGCATAGAAAATGGTCGGAGGGCGCAGTCATTTAAGTGTAAACCGAAACCGCGTGCGACAAAGAAAAGGGAAACGAAAAGCGGAAAATTCCGTTATGCAAATCAGCATATTTTGAGAGAAGCGGATCGGATATCTCATTTGGCTTTAGGGCAATTAAGTTATACGGCCGTGGTAAGAGCTGAAAAAATTTGATTCCTTATTGAACTAATGGAATTCAGATGTTCTCAGATGAGAAGAACTTACAACGATCATAAAAATACGCAGCGGCACATAAAAAGCATCCAGAAAGAAACATGTGCGTATGTTTTGAGTTTTACTCAATGGAAAGTATTTACGGTTCTTTTTACATTTCAAACAATAGTTACAGGAGAAGAAATAAAATACTGAACTAATGGAATATGGACGAATAGGATGGGAAAAAAGAACATAAGTTTTCTTCCTTTGTGCACCTCTTTATTATTAAATCAACTTTGTTAGTTTCTTTCTTTTATTTCCTTTTTGCACAAATAATTAAATCATCTTCTGCGCAGCGAAGGAAAAGATGTCATTATTTACTTTATTTCCCTTTATTTTTAAGATCAAAGTACGCTTGTATACTTATTTTCTGTGAGTTTATTTGCATTATATAAGCATGGAATGTATTCATTTAGGTCGACTGCATTTTTTGTTTATTACATACGATAACCAAAGAAATGTTTAACTTCTTTGATACCCTTCACTACTTTTGATAGAAAAAAATATCCTGTTACATAAATCATATATCATTATTTATTTTTCCGGAATATTTCTTATTTATAATAGTTAAAATTCAAACTGGAAGCTTTGCAATCTTTCTAAATTATTTTTGGTGTACCCCAAGAAAATATTCTTCATCGAATTCGTAATTTTGTAATTTTATTGAAAATACGTTTAAATTATATTCATTAATATTTCCATGAAAAAAAAATGTTTGATATAAAATATTAGCACATTCTTATGATAATATTACTAATTTATATAACTTATATGATTATCTAACATAGATATTTTGGGGTAGATATTGTTGTTATGAAATCTCGAATTTGAGGGAGATTCCAGTTCACCTACGTCCCAACTATTTTTGGATGAAAACCGAAAGCTGTGGCATCGTGCCAGCAACGGCACACGACACTTTATTATAGTCGGCAGGGGGGCTTCGACGACCAATTTTTGTTGCGCCGTTTTGGCTCCAGTATTTTTACTCCCGTCCTTTAGCTGTATGCATCCTCTTATTTTGTCCCCTATTCCTTTTTCCTGCACTGATTATACACATGTGGACCGGTTCCAAGAATCATTAGTACGTTCCACAATATATTCGCGGAATTTTATCCGCGATGAATTTGGGTGTTTTCAGTTAAAGGTGACTAACGTGGGAATACTTAAACTGTAATTAAGAGACATGTTTAACAAATTCGAAGAAATAAATAAAAATACACGTACACTTACTTATTAAGCAAACATTTTCCTTGAAACAATAATAACATAATATTCCTTAATTGTAAATACTCTATCCATTGTAAATATTTCAATGCTACTACGCGGCTCGAAAATAATTTTAGTTTCAGTGATTCAACTCACGAAAATTTCATTTAACCGCCACATATTAATATTCGCGATACGCTTTTAGAACTAAATACTGTACTTCCTACAGTCGAAAATAGATAAACCAGAAAATATTCGTTCAGTCATTATTATAAAATGTAACTTCACACACATAATTATAATATAACAGTATAAAAGAAATCAGTGATTGATTGCAACGGGCAATTAGAATATTTTCAAAGTATTTTAATACTTTTTATTTGCAAACTAATGTTTCCGATGTATTTTACGTGAAAATAGGCCGAAGCAGTATATATATTTATTAATCGATATATAATTCTGGTACAATATTTATATTAGTTTGAAAATCTTTTTTTTGGGATAGAAAAAAGAAGGAAAGGTATGCTATATTTTTTGTATGTGCGGATTTGTTAGCTTGAAGTGTTGCTCAAATTGATTTATTATGCAAAGAATGTATCACGTGTTTTATAATTCTCCTGCCGAAAATAAATTTATCAATTTAATTCCAGTCTGCTAAACGCGAAATTATTCTCTCGTGAACGTCGCCTACGCCATCAAAAATGAAGAGGCTGTGGCCACTGCGTGATTAAGAACATTTGTCTGACAGCGAGATGCTTATATTTACCGGGCTTTTCTACACTTTATTTCTTCCTATTTTCTTCGTACTTTCTTCGCGTTTCCTCTTTGTGTGTTCGCGCTTGCTTCCTGTCGCTTCCTTGCGATTTTTTCCTTTCGCTTTTGCTACGGCCTGTGCGGATTCTCTGGGATCCTTCGAAAGGATAATAGAAATTGCGAGCCTCACTCGCGTTGCGCGAAAATAATGGCGCAAAATGGGATGGAAGCGAATTAAATGGTTCAGCCGTGGAGGGGGAACATGGAAACTGATGCTTTATTAAGATGTTACTCCCCGCTTTATCGATGTTACCAAGAGGCACTTGAAGTTTAGGGCTAAAAGTTAAGAGCCATTTGGCACTTTATCTAAATATTTTGAAGACGGGCTTTTGTTTCAGTTCCGGCCAAGGTTGTTTGGGCCGTTCCTGGAAAGGACGTGGAGTTACCGTGCGACGTGACGCCGCCATTACCTACAGATTCCGTCAACATGATCTTCTGGTTCAAAGATACCTCCGGTATGCCTATATACAGGTAAGACGGTTTTTGGGATTCCTGTTTTTTTAGAGACAGCAGAATGTAAATCATCTCAGCAAATTGCTGAGTTGTGCAGCGGCAGCTGCTGCCGCTCGTAGTCCATCCCCGCTGCGAATTATGGATTACATAAAATCAGCGGCAGAGAGAGCAATGTACTTACAGTAAATCAGGAAATCTTCGAATTTTTAATCGTTAAACTCACCCGGAGACAGTTCAATTACTTATATAATATGACGCACGTCGACCGGGCATGCGGAAAAACATAAGTGCCGGAATCCAAGTCCGAATTCGAGAAGGGGATGGATAAAAGAAGAAAGAAAGTAATCTTACTAAAGATGACACTGTCTTATTAGCAAGCATTAGGGGAAATTGTAGATACAATCCATTAGCGAGAAACGTCCATCCAAATTGTTTTACCAAAATCAAATAACATGATAAAACTGATAATTGAATGAAAATACCAGTAATATACATAAATATTAAGCAATCGTTAATAATACACAATGTTGTTCACTGGTATAGTTCAAATAAGCTAAAATATAAAAAAACGTACAAGTTCACATTCAAATTTAGTTTTTGACATAAACTTAGTATACAAATAATTTATAAGATGACTGATAAGTTATGTTTAAACGACAATTGTAGCGTAATAAAAAACATTTTATAGTTATTTAAATATATTTGCGCATATTAGATAAATAAATAATAATGTGAAAAAAGTTACTTGTTGAAGTAATTTAAATATTTATTTAAAAGCCTACGATATAAAATGTTTGAAAAACTATATTCATTAAGTCAATTTTCATGTGTTCGATTACAATATCTAGGTCAATTTGTATAGTAATGGAATGATTTGATCAAATTTGATATGTGAGCTTGAACTGGCGCGGTTTCACAGTCGGAGCAATGAAAATTTTTACAAGCTTTTATGGCCTGGAACGGATGCAAATTGAAATTCTCGTACGGAACTTTTATGACTCCGTTCCCCAATGTTCTTGATGTATATGTTCGAAAATGACGTCCGTCTTTCGATTGGATTTTACTTATTCAATCGTTAAGTGTGAAATTAATAAACTTTCGATGAATCTGATCATATGTGTCTGAAATAACAATCAATTCTGCTTACTATATAATATATAAAATGCTTGCATTAGCGAATATGAAAGTACAATGGGAATGACATAGTACATGCTGAGCTATGTGTGTCGAAGCTGGTTCTGCTAATTTGCTGAGTGCACACCGATCGGTCTATCAAATATTGAATACTGGCAGATGTGCAGATGTGCAGATGGATTATTTCATTAGTATGTAAAGTAAATTTTAACATGTCCATTCATACAAGGTTATCCATTTAAAATAACAATCAATCAAAACAAGTTTAATGTTACATGTTGATATTGAAACTTTTAATTTATTTAAATAATATGAATGTGTCAAAAGAAAATTAAAAGTTTACCATGTTTATGTGTCAGTTTGTTACTAATGCAATTTCAATTTCTATATTTACAAATATGACACATTTATGTACGTTTAATAATGTCCGTATTGTCTATGATTATATGATAAGCAATCTTTCTCAACACAACTGCATTGTTTATTATCTAGAATTATAATGGTATTTTTGGAAAATATAAGGTTAAATGAACCGTACGTCATAATTTTAAGACGACATCAAACGGTGCACATCGTTATACTTTTTACTCTTTTCATTTTTCGGACGAATGAAATGACTAATCTGAAGTCAATTTGATTGTCGCATTGTCGAGCACAGAAAAGCGGCTGTGCGCGGAATTAACTGCACTTGTTCTATTATAAATTGCAGAATTTATAATTGCGTGTTCATAAATCAAGTGGTCAGTGGCGTCCGGTGGTAATTGCGACTATAAAAATTTGGCTCGCGCGCAAAATTTTCCCCACCCCACGATAAATCATTGATTGTCAAAACCGAATTATTGATTATCGTGCATAATTTATTTGCAATTAGTCGCACGAAGAATATTAAATGAAAGCGTAATCAATCAAAGCGGACGTACCGCACAAATTGCATTCCAAGGAATCCCAGTTGACCATGGAAATGGTCGATTCTGTGTACTTCGGGGATTGCAATATGCCGATGGACCGATGCATGTTTTCGAATTACAATTTTGACTGTTCTCTGTTGCAGTCTCGACGCCAGACTCAACGAGACTTCACATCTAGCCGTGAGCAATGATTTGGGCACGAGGTCTTACTTTGTGATGGACCAGGATCCTTCGAGGGCTCGTCTCAAGATTCAGGAGGTGGCTGCAGAGGATGAGGGTGTATTCAGATGTCGCGTCGACTTCATCAATTCGCCTACCAGGAACTTTCGAGTCAATTTAACTTTAGTAGGTCAGGGTCAGGATGTATTCTGGGTTTGCGAATAATTTCATTTTGTGTATTGATTATTTATGCAGTGCAGCCATCGGTTCCGAGGATCTTCGATGCCGAGGGGAAGGAAATCCTTACAGAAGCCGGACCTTTCCTAGAAGGACAAGAACTCTTCCTTTCCTGCCAAGTTACTGGAGGTATATACTATATACTATATATATACTATACAATTAATAGTTGTATAAAAAAAGTTATAATTTTGTATTTTAATTTATTATAACTAAATATTATACAAAAATGTAATATAGTGGTTTGGGATAGACTTATCTAATATTATGATATGGTAATTAATAAATGTATGGCATAAAAAATTTGTTAATTACAATATCATATTTTTGAATTTACATATGAGAGGTAAATTTAAAATTGAGAGTACATTTAAGGTTATCTGAAAGAAAGTTTACTTTAAAAACATATAAAGTTGATGTCATCAACATGTCAGTTGATTCTGTCCCACAGGCAACATTTGTACTTGATGAAAGCAACTTGAGGGAATTCCTACAAGCTTTTCAGAAAGAAATAACTAACCAACTGGGATTACTCTTCCAATTCTTCATTTCTCCTAAAATAATAAAGTTTAAATTTTCACGTTTAATTTAAAACCACGCACTAGTGTTCATTAATTACTAACTTAATGTAGGACTAATTTAAAAAAAAAATTGTATTAATATTTATGTATTTTTTTGTTTAGGTAAACCCGCTCCCTCACTAATTTGGTGGTATAATGGCACTATCTTGGACAGTGTTGTAGATACGGGTAGAGATTACTTCACGACAGTAAACCAAATGCTAATAACGAAGGTACCTAGATCCTTGAAAGGCGGAAAACTGGAATGTAGGGCAACATCATACGAGATGGCCGGAGATATCATCAGGGAGGTTCCCGTCATCGTTTACTGTAAGTAGATATTGGAATCTCGAGGAGGCAAGGACGAAATCGAAAAAGAAAAAGAGGATGAAAAAGTAAATAGAGAATATGCTAGGACTCCCCGACATAAAATCAAATTTTAGTAATTGGTTTTCATTATATAATAATCAAATTACACAACATAGTTTTTGTGATAATGAAAATCCTGATACTAATTCGATAAATCTACAAATGATCTAATTATATAATATGGTAATGTTTGTTTAAATAAATGTAGAATACAGTTAAGTTTGCACTTCAATTAAAATGGAATGGCAGAGGTGGGCGATTTTTGTATCGGAGCTCGGAGAATCGATGGAAATAAATCTGATGAAACGATCCTCTCGACGTTTAATCTTCAATTTAACGAAAACGTATATAAAAAAAGAGGAATCTATCAGAAAAAAAAAGAACAGACCCAACACGATACGGCATAAAAATAAAATAAAATGCGGCGGCTTGCTAATTCACCGTGCCGTCCGTAATTTAACCGGAAGTTTCAGCAAGTAGTATAAACATAAATTATGCATTTCAATGATCCTCCCGGGGGCAGTCACGCAATAAACAACGTAACAAATGTTCCTCAGATTGAGTTCGATGCGAAAGGGTATTCTCGTGCGGATTCAGCACTTCAATGCAGCATTTTCCGGCCGTTCAACAAATCCGTCAATAATGATTGATAATGACAGATCGGGGTGCCATAAAACGTTGTATTAACGAAATTCATATGATAAATTAAATTCTAATTGGACGGCCGACATTACTCGCTCCAACAAATGTTCCGCTCTATTTGATTTTTTCCTTTTGTCTGTTTATTTATCTATTTTTGTTGTCGTACCATTCGCCTATTCCATTTTATCTCCTGTTACAGTGAAACCGAACAAAGTGAAAATTGTTTCTCCCAACGAGCTTTTGTCGTGCAGTAAAGCTCAGACCGTGCGCTGTGAGACTTCAGGCTCTTATCCACCTGCAAAAATAATCTGGACACTCCAGGCAAAACCTATGAGGAACGCTGTTCTAACGGTAATTACAAGTATTTTAATCTAGTTTAAGAAAACTACTACGACTTTCGAAACAATACTTATATATTTTCAATCATATTAAAATTAAAAATGTATTATCAGCTTTTAATCAAGAATCAAATTTTAAAATTCAATTACAGGAATTTTATTTAAGAAATGTTTAATGTTGAAATTTTCATTTGTATTATCTTATATCATAAATTGTATAACAACAAAATAATTGCATGAATTAGTGCGAGTTGATTTTTATGGCTTTGAAAGGTAATAGATTTATATTAGATATTTCTGGTTGTTAGGAAGAGGAGACGGAATTGTTTTCGAGCAGTATAATATCTATGAGACTGGAGGCTGAGGACGATGGCAAGGAGCTGGTTTGCAGGGCAGACAATCCTCGATTCCCAAAAGGATATCTGGAGGACAAGCGGCGGATACATGTTGCGTGTAAGTAATGTCTCGCCCGGCGCATCCACTAAAAACTCGTCCACCTTGCGCCCGTATAAATGCTCTTCTGCAGGTACTTGACCGACAGCAGGACTAACGTCACATCTGTTCATGTCGTGGCGCGCATTCAAATTCGCCACCCTCGCATCTGGCAAATTACCTTTGTGCAGTCCCCAGGATAATTCCGACTTAATAGATTCGACCGCCAACATCTTGAAACTTTCCGATAAGATCGACACAAGGCTAAACAAGAATCGATTTTGCTATCTAAATAAGGCATACAAAAACAAATGGTTTATCGAATGATTTGATACAGCTACTAGTTTAGACGCCAGAGGTATTTTCATAATCATGAAAAATTCCTTTTGGCAAGCTGATGCAGCTTATAACTCACTTTGACTGCTCCAACTTTGTCACGCAGCATAAATAAATTACGTTCGTATTTTCACAAATTACACTAGTATTAATAAGCTCATAGCATATATGTATTTCAAATTTGCCTTCTATTATATATGAATTTTATATATGAATATAATAAAACGATATGGTCTTTTTACTCATAATATTTCATGGGGCGACTAATAGTCGATTGTTAATTCGCCCTACCCACAATCGAACCGGCGACGGTTCGAATCCTGGTCAAAAGCCAGGCCCTTTGTGAGCTCTTTCGGTGCTTGCAGCAATAGGGCCATCGTTTATCATAGATGGACAGTTTAATGAATGAGATCCAGCATATGAACCTTCAACCAAGTCGATGGACAATGACAGTGTTAAGAATAGCAGCAGATTCACAGTCAAATGAAATAGTGGAATCGCAGAGCATCAATATACTACTAAAGTTAAAATCATCATAATGGTAATTATCCACCGGGAAAGATTTACTCAATGTTAACATTGATGAACAAATTGTGAATAAAATTACACGACATAAAAAAATAGTATTTCATAAATTTTTCAATTTATATGCATATAAATAACATAAACATAAATAAAGTTTTAACTGTTTTAACTTTAAAAATTATGATGTTTGGGTTGGGCAGTTGCTAAAACAGCCTAGAACTTTATAGTACAATCTCTAAATCGACCCGGAAATTCTGTAACAGTTATTTACCAGCAACTGACTTGAATTTGGCACTTGGGCTGACAGCTAACATTGCGGCTGTTTAAATGGGCGCTAGTCCCGATACAATTGCATGATTATAATGAAAATTAATTACTGCGCAACAAGCTTAATACAAATACAAACTTCACATTGAAAATATAATTAGGAAAGTGCAGCATATTTAAATGAATTAAACTACTTATTTTTTGTACGAACCAATTCACCTTTGTAGTTAAAATGATTTTGTGCTGCATGAAACAGAAGTAATACGCTTTTTTTTATGCGATTTATAAACCTGTAATTTTGTGTAGAATTTTTTTTATTTGTGACTACATTATTATATTCAAATTACAATATTATGCATAGTCTGAAAGTGTAGTAAAGCAGTTGTTAGGATAGATTAAATCAGATACACTTCAAAATATAAGAACTTTCCGACCAATTTGATAATGTAACTGTCGAAGTATCGGAAATCGCACTACATAAACCTAATAGTTGTTGCAATCAGTAAATGCGCATATTTCTTCAGGTAATATTTTGCATAATATTGCCACCGCAATTTGCTTTCTATCGATAACTAAATCTTGCCTCGTGCCTTTCAAAATGTATGCTCGAGCCTTTCATGTCCACGTAATACAATATAGAAAGAAAAAAAGATACATTTCAGTTTCATATTTGTATATTTTTTTGCAAGAAAAACAATGCATTCTGCTTGGCTTTGTTTAAAAAAACCTTATTGTTTCCTTTTTAATTACAACATATTTCTTTTTAGCGTTCTTCGCGTCATTTATTTTATCGTTGCCCTTAGGAATGCTCGCTGTTAATGTAGCGCGCAATATCTATGAATAGCAGATCTAATTATTTCCTCGTTCTTCGCTCTTAATGTTTCCATTATCGTTTTTCTTCTTTATACGTATATCCATTGTATTTCGAATAATTTACGATATTTCATTATTCACAGTTTATAAATTTTAAAAAGCATTTCAATATAAGTTAATTCGAATAAATTAATTAAACTATTATTATATGGTTGAAGTGAGCCGATTTCTCCGCTTGGCACATTCACTGCAATAAATAATAACTCCATTAGCATGGTATAATTTGATTATAGAAATGTGCATAGCGGAGTCGAATAAGATACGGGAATGTGATGTATATATACAATGTGTAAAAGGTAAACGTACTTGGGGTGGAATTTGGTGTGGTCGCACCCGTGTGTCCGGTGACAAATGTTGGGTCAGTGTGTATCCCAGAATAGAAACCGCATCCCTAACAGGATTACCGGAGGGCATTCGCTCTTTGCAGAGTCCTCTTCTACTTCAACCTCATCCCACATGTTACTATAAGTACATATTGAAATTTGAATATTTTACATATCTCATAAAATTATTAATATTCTTAGCTAACCTTAAACTATTTTCTATTATATAATGGAGCATTGATTGCATATATTTGGTGTTTGCATATAAGGAAGAAAGAGAATTTACTGACTGCTCGTAAACATTGGACTTTCAAACGGGCATTTCTGTACGTGTGGGCATTGGCACTGGCTTTTTCAATTTCCCAAAGACCTAAGTAGAAGCCTAAATAGAATTTCCATTAGGTAAAGAGGGGCAACAACGTCTTTAACAAAGGCGCAGCTTTTTACGTGGCCGTGGCATTTGGAACCTGCCGGGAATTAAAGATGATCCCTCGGTTTTGGTAGCCGACCGGCACAAATGCGGCCGTTTGTATTCTGATCAGAGGACGGGACCATCGTCTCAACGCCAAGGACTTAGATAACTGGCAGAGGTTAGACCGTTGTGTCGCGGCCGAATGTTCAAACTTTCCACTGCACCGGCGATAAATCATTGAATCTAGCCGCCTCCTCCTCCTCCTCCTTCTCTTATTCTCCTTCTTCTTATTCTCCCTCTTCCTGCTCCTTCCACTCCCGTTCATCCACCAACGCTGCCGCCGCCACAGCCCTAGACCCATTCATTAACTAATCTACGTTCTGAACCGTGCTGATAAAACGACTCAACCGTTCCATCAGTGAAAAAGAAATAATGAGCGATCCCTCCTTATATATTTATATAGAAGGAAAAAGGGGTGGCTGTGAAAATAAAAAAGAACATCGTTGCCGAAAAAACTGTTGGCAGGATGAAGAGATGAGTGCAGCTACGAAGATCACGAGCGATAATTCCGGAGAAGCCCATTCATTTTATAACTTCCCTCGTGCACTTCTGTCTGCAAAGAATATTCCTATAAATATATGCATTGAATTTATGCAATACAATTTCACAGGTTCTTGATTTTATGGACGAACGGCAAAGAAAACGGCTCGGGTATGTGACATCATTATTGTTCTGTAGGAAACTGCTTCGAATATCCAATATTTTAATTATGAAGTTTCTTCTCGATTTTTGAGCAGTTAGGATACTATTTAAATGACTACAAGTTCTATGAGATTATATATTAAAACTTTGGACTAAAATTAAAGCATAACAATTTTATATTGAGTAATTTTGTATGAATTGTGATACATTTGTGGAGGCGCCAGGTAATGCGTAAAAATAAATATTAATGTGTCAATAAACAAATTCATAATATAATTGCTATAATATTAAAAACTATCTGGAATTTCTATCACATAGTTTGTAAAATTTGAAAAAGTTTCTGCGTGAGGGTAATGTTGTTCGTAACCAACTGTCCTCTTACATACCAGTTAATTACAACTCTATGCGTCTAAGTATATAAATTGGTTAACAGACCACACAATGCATCACAATATATGGCTTAATAGCTTCCTCTAATTTAGTGATGTTCGGATGCTAGTAGCTATCTCCGTCGCTGCTGTCTGTGGCCGCAGGACTCGCTCCAATGGACACCGGACAGTCTGTTCGGAAGCCCATAAATTATAGTTATATACAATCTATATATTAACTGACTATTGCGCTAACTACTATTTCATATATTACAGTAGTTGTTTTTGTTGTTATTTATTTTTGGGATTCGTTTTTGTATCGTCTATTTTGTGTGTCTAGTTTATTTTCCGGCGGTTGTTAAACGAGCTCCATATGAAATATGGAGCTCGTTAACCAACATGTAAATATTCTAGTTTAATATTTAAACTAGTATATTTCAAATATCTTTCAATCATATTACATAATAAGCTTTCATAGGAAAATAATTATACTATTTTTCTACTTAATATAATTATTCTGATTATTCTATACTTTTCTTTTTAGAATGTAAATTTAATTAGCTGTAATACGGTTTCTTGCATAAAATAACACATTTACAAATAGACTAGCTAATGGATAAACACAAATATTCATCCTTTTGATTTGAGCGAAACTTTAATCCATATTAACATGTAATAGGAGTGGTAATGTTGTTTGTCATTATAATATAATTAAAATAACTGTACTTACATTATTATATTATCTATCCATTTTTCTTTTAAAATAATATATTATTATTCTGCATATCCCATACATATTAATAATATTATTATAATAATAATAAACATAATTTATTTTATTTATCGCATAAGAATGAAGACATTTTTATATTAAACGTATACATTTCATAAATTCACTGTTTTCTCGATGTATCTAATATCTGCTACGTTCATTTATAATTATTTTTTAAAATATCGAACAAAAATTGATTTTTTTTAAATGATTCAATTAAAGTATTATTATTATATTTGAAGTACCGAATGCAAATAAGGATGATTAATTAATGTTAGTTGATAATTTTAAATATAATAAACATTTCTTGTAAAATCTTGTAATAGTATAAATGCTGCTGCTAGAATCTAAACGAACAATTAATAATACCTAGGGAATGTTTCCGACTAGCATCATATACACTTGTGACTACAGCGTAATGATATCGTTTCAGACCCTCCCAAGGTGGCGGTCAGGCTCGACTTGGGGGCAACATCCCCTGTTAAAGAGGGCAGTATCGTGGTTTTGCGCTGTGACTGCAAGGCCAGGCCGAGTCCGCACACTTTCAGCTGGTACCAAGATGTGAGTATTTGCATATATTCTAATTGCATGTATAAATAATTTCGTGCCGCCCTACGTCCACCACCCTTCAGCCTTTCACCCTCTGCAAATCGGAAGAAGACTCACCAACTAATGTATGCGGAAACACAGCAAAAGCTCTGTTCAATATAAATAAAAATGAAACGAAGTATGTAAATTCGTAAAATTTACCCCGACAGCGCTTTCTTTACTCTCCAGTTTAATATTTTCATGGTACTCTTTCTGAGCTTATAAATATGTAGAATGGACGCCTCTTTCGGATCGAGCCCCTTACGATCACTTAAAACTTGCTTAATAACGAAACCTCGTTCGACGTCCGACAAAGAAACGAGAAGGGAACAGCAGAAAGCGAAGAAGAATTTCGTTTTCGCCGGTGTTGTTCTTCAAACATTAAACATTCAATTTGTATAGTCGACCAATCCTATTTCAACGTGGGAGCATGGAAAGGCCTTTTGCACCAAACACGACGCCCCGAGCATCAAATTACGGAATCACGTCTTGTTATTATTACCATTATTGCTCAGACTCATATTGAATTATAAATTAAGTTCGACCCGGCCGCGACCGCAATCTAAACTTCAGTTATCGCAACAATATTTTTCCTGTGCAGCACGGAATTTGCATCAAAAATGTATGGAAAGAAGAAATAATTTCAGCGCGGCGGAAATATCTCCGGCTGAAATTTCATTGCGTAATTAAAGGGGTTCTGGGTTTGGCTAGGAACGCTCTAATTAACGCACTAATTGAACAGCACTTTTATGCGGCAAATTAAAGGTGGAACGGCTTAAAAGTTTCTTGAGCCGCGCCTTGAATCTTCTGCTCCCATAAACTTTCCTCTTTTATTGTACAGAGCATAAAGACATATTAAAGCTAATTTTATCATGGTCTGCTAAATTATAATTATTATAGTTATAAATGTACAATAATATTTTTATTTTAAATAATATTATTCAGTTATTTACACGATCTCTTGAAAATGAAAAATAGAAACTGATCCTTATTATAAGTTACTTCACAAGGATAATTGGTTTGAGTAAGAAAGTATAAAGAAATATATAATTTAATCAAGGAGTACAGTTGAATCAATTTAATTAAAAATACGTGTAAAATATAAAGTACATGAAAGATAATAGAAAATATGATGCATGGAGGGAAAGTGAACTCTATCTGTTACGTTTTCTCGCTGGTTTTGTCTTGCCTTAATTTGATGTATATTAAGTGTGGAAAGTTAATGGTGATTGCAACGTGTGTGGTCTGTTAGGATGCATGAAGGATGGTAGGTTGTGCTAGGAGGGGCAACAACACATGTTTCTAAATAAAGTCTAAAAGCATAATATCGCGACCATATATCTCTGGTGTAAAACAGAAGAGAGGAAGCTAACAAAAGGGGAGGTATTTGAAAATTTCCCCAGTGTAAAGCATCCTTCATAAAGGAAAAAGGCCACGTAAGAGTTATGCGTTCGCGGCTCAAAGCTGTCTCGAGCGTATTATCTATCCATCCGGTCTGCTTAGTTCTTCCTCTATTTTCCATCCGTGCTTCACTCCCTTTCATTCATTCTTCAAGTGTATTTTTAACACGGACCATACGACGAATTGCGATAATTCCATATGTATTTGCACAGAAAATATTTATGAAGGTTTCCCATTTTGTCTCCGCCAAATACATTGACCGGCTCTCGCATCTTTGTATACCTAGGCACTAAGTGGACTGAGCAAACCGAACTGAAAACGAAACCGTGCAGATAAAAGGAGATTTCGAACCGATGCGAGCTTCTATTAAGGATCTTTACACACAGAGTTACGAAATACGATTTTCATCCGTCACTGACACATTCCGTCCGTCTCTCTTTTCATCTCTTTCCCATTAACCTCTGCGAATCCAACGCAAATACAATTCAATTATGTCATGCGAAAACAGATATATCATTCTATTTTATCATCCCAGATTTATGTCATTATCGTTTTTTCCGCTCCACGGATTAGCAAATGATTCCCAAATATAGGAATGAGAAAACGTGTAAGAACAAATTCTTGCATGTGGAGCAAACATATTTTTCGAAGCAAATTTATGAAAAATTATTTGTAAACTTTTATTCTAGTATTTTAACACATCAATTATATAAACCATCACATCAGACTAAATGTTTGGAAAATGTAATGAAATTTTAATATTATGTTTTATTTGTAGAAATTTATACTAAAAGTATGAGTATTAGGCCTTAAGTGATCTTTATGTTCATACATTTTGTGATCGAATTTGGTCCCAAAAGTTTTCTTAATGTACTCTTTAAATTTTATGATGCGAACCGCTTCGAACCCAGGTAATAACATTTTATCTAACTCTAAACTCAGGATATAGTCGTCCGTTCATATAAAATGTAATAGATATTTTAAATCTAAAGATTGAATTAATTGTTTTTAAATTTTAAAGCGTAATTAATTTGATGGAAATGCATTTATTTAACATGTTGTTTATAATATAATTAGTTTAAAATAATTATTGATCTATCCGCTCTAGTTTAGAAAATGTTAAATTTTGAATATTGAAACTAAATCATAATATATCAGAGGTATAAAGAATTGCGTAATTTAGATAAAAAATTTAGTTTATAATATTATATAAAAAGCACTGAATTTTAAAAATAATAATATTTTAACATAATTATAATAGAATCACTGTATATTGTAGATCGATTTTTAATAAAAAAAAATATTCATTATGTGCATAAGCAGATATCATATGAAGATAAATACTATGCTACCGGATTCATTTGCAAATGCTTTAGGCAATCCATTAGTGATATGCTGTTTGTTCAATTTTATCGGTAAATCATATATACTTAAATATTTGTTTCAATCAATTTGGAGACATAATTTTAAGAGTACATAGCAATATAACTTGTTATAATGTAGTGTTATTACAATTTAAGAGTAATATATTTAGTTATCAAGACATGTTTCAGCAACAATTTTAATTAGAATTAAAAAAAACACATGTGTATTATAACTTTTAGTTATACACGATTTTGTATACACACAAGTTGGAATCAGTACTATTTGACTGGTTTATTGATTTCATTTTTTTTTTCAAATTTGTTTTGTAATGCTCGATTGGAATACAAATTGCCATCGTTTGATTCGTGCATTGGCAGCACACGTGAGTGGATGTGTATGTGTATTTTTTATTTGTTGGGAGAAGAGGTTGCATTGGCAGAAAAGGGAATCTCCGGCGACGTGAGAAATGATGCGAAGCGAGCGAGGATGAGATAAATATCGAGTAAGACAGACATAGATAACACAAATCCAGTGTCAAGGTGATAGATGGAGGCGGTAGATGGATAGATGCGCGCTAAACAAAAAGAGGGCGAGTTTTATTGGCCGTGAAAATAACAAATAGAGCAGCAGGATGGCGTGATGGGCCAGCATCCAACATATTTTGCGGTCTTCCATCCCTTGAGGAACATCTGAACCCGTGCGAATTCTAATTAGACTGCGAAAAAGAAGAAAAAAGTTGAAGATGTAGTGTAGTTTTGGGGTTGATATCGTATACCCTTGGTCCCCTTGACCCCGACGGCATTACGAGTGTATTTCCATTTCAGCAAGCATCTGTTATACACTCGTCAGAATGGTTGCTCAAGTTTGAAAACTTGGTGGTCCCGCTGTGACATTAATGTCAGTAACGATTACATCGTTTCATCTGTCCTAATCCTGAGCCACAGGAGGCAGAGTCATAGCCAGTAGCCCTCACGAGATAAGTTGCCTGAATTCTGATTACTGAGGCTAATCCGATTTGTTTTTATTGGAATTAATTCCTCGACGGTTTCGCTCCGATAAACAACGGACTTTAGTATTCAGTTGGCGCCGATAGTACAGTATATATATATATATATTTACCCCTCTTGCTTCGCCGAAAAAGTTCGCATTGTATTCTTTTAAGTGCAGCTCGCGAGTTAATAAAAGAAGGAAACAAATTTTAGAAATTCCAGAACAAAATTAGCGTGGATCTCTAAGAGGAACTAAAAGGAAAGTTCGGTCCATTTTATCAGCTCCGCTCTGTGTATATCTATAGATATATACACACTCTCGGAGCGTCTAAGTAAACGAAGTTCGATCGAGTTGGCCATCAGAAATATTTAGGGAGCCCGTTTCTTCATCGCACAGTTAATTAACTTTTCTTGGTTCCAATTTAAGGAACGCTAATTTATTTCAACGGTCCAAAGACAAAATAATCCTGCGAAGAGAACGGAATACCCGGAGATATAAATTAAAATAATTAACGTAAGTGCGCTCCTGGTTCCCCGTTTCTTTTCCTTCCTTTTTCTCTCATTCTTTCACTCTCCTTCCGTATATTTTCTTATTCTTTTTTCGCTTCACTTTTTATTTTTTCTGCACGTTCATCTTCTCTTATTATTGCCCTTCTTCCTGCTCTTTGTATATTTAATTACATCCCACCTCTGTTTTCGGCTTTCCAACCCTCCGTCGGAGCCGCCAAAAAATTAACAATGATTAAATTCAGCAACGGCTTTGCATATAAAAATATTAATAAGATTTCTACTCCTGAAATGCAAATTAGACTAGATATTATTCAATGTTCAATTAAAGCACAATTATTTCTTCAATTTTAAGGTATTTTGTACATGTATTTCAATAATATTTCTCTACAAAATAGTATTATTCTTTAATAGTATACATATATGTATTAATTACCATGTCTAAATGTATTTATTTTTATTTTTTTCCTATGAATTTGTATTTTATATATGTTGATAATCAATAATTTATAGCTTAGATAATTTTTTACAAAATATATACATAATATTAATGAATAAAACATAATTATGTAAGTTTAATAGTTGTAGATTATCATTCTCCTGGAAGGACGATATTGATTTTTTTTTGATAGAAATTGATGAAATGCTTTACTGGTTATATAGTATGAGCAACAATTGAATGGTATAAACGTCAGGTGCATTTGAAATGAAATATGAATTCTTGATATGTTCAAACTAACAATTATAAAAGCGATTCACATTGTTGAAGATGCACAATGTTGCGTGTAAGAAAACGCAAATAATAAATCATCGTGCAGTGCTTTTATCTGTGAAATAGTTAAAACTTTCAATGCGGAAGGGATGAACTCGATAAATTTGAAATTCAATGCGGACATCCCGGAAACTTTATTATTGTTTCGAAATTAATGGAATCCAATTAAACTCGTTGTCGTTGCAGGGGCATCTGGTCCCTTACAATGAGACCGCCGGATTACTACCAGCTGATGACACTCTGACCATCAAAAGCATTCGGAGACGGTCTGAAGGAGAATACTCGTGTTCGGCCACCAATTCAGAGGGAGAAACGTACAGCGCCCCCTTCAATCTCATTGTTCAATGTAAGTCTGCGATTTATTCTTCTATTCTGTTCATTTTACTAATACCGCATTCCTGTATACCTTTATCACTAGCCTTTGTGTGCTCGTGCATTAAATAATCCCTCTAACACATATCTTTACAACCAAACTGATTTAAAGTAATACAAAAGTAAGCTTAGATTAATTTTAGTTTCGTAAATAAACCAAAAATAAGCAATTACCTAATTAATATTTATTATATGGTCAATATTATTATAGTAATTTGTTCACTCAAATATAATACATAGATAAATGTAACATAATATAAGAATATTAGAACAGAAAAGTAATTCTAACTAACAATTGAGTAGCCATTGATAATGAATTGAATGTGCATACGTGGCATGCACAGCATTTCTATAGGTTATAATAGAGTTAGAATCCTATATATGTGACCCACCCAAAAGATTTATCAACTTGTTGCAGTTTGGCATCTGTTTATATTAATGACCTCTTGTATCATAAATTACACTTAGCTTCGGTGGTGGTGGGCAGTTCAGCAGACACCGCTTATGTATGCTTTTTCTTGTGCGGTTTAGTTCTTTCTGCTGCTCCTTTAAATTGGAGCTACTAGCAGTGTATGCGTGTCGAAAAGTGAGGAGATCCATTTGGACTTAAACTAATCGGTTTGCGGTCAGTGAGTGATCTCTCTTCGGGTAGCTTTTCTGCGCCCATCCATTTCGAGCGATCACCCCTTGCCTTCGAATGATGGGGATGGGCTTAGAACTTGCTGCTAAATTCGCTCACACAATTTAAACTATTACCACCATCGGCGTTTAATTGCCGCAAGTCCATTTCCGTATGCCGCCCCTCAGACATCTTGGGATGATGAAAATGCCACGTGTATTGTTCGATTGCTGTGCGCGACTGCATCACCTCAGAGCGACGGATGATCTTCAATTGCAGAACACTAATTACCACTTTATTACACATCAACGTGCCAGAAATAACGAACGTTCTGTATATACAACCGCAGGATTTACTGCTGCTATGCTTTTGTGTTTTATAACAATGGATTCGGCGTACTGCTATCATGTTCCATCGAATATAAAAGCTTTCGAAGTGGAAATAGACAGAGCAGTGGTAAATAAAAATTACAAAAGCATATTTCCAATTCAGACATCAATAGCGTTCCTTTTCCGTGTGATTTGATAATACATCAAATCAAAAACTCATCAATGATATAACTATGATCAAGTTTCCTTATTATCCTGTACATATATAAAAAAAAACAAAGCAAACAGTAAAATAAACAGTAATTCTATATATCGATTTCATGATTATGATGAGAACGATGCAGCTCGCCAATTAATTTTAATTAATATTACATGTCATTCTGTATGAATAATTGCACATAAAATTGGATGAATCTAACAGAATATGGTAAATTGATTTTTCATAAAATTGTGATTTAAAATGTCCTTTTTGAGTTAGCAATTGTGAATTGAATACTTATTTTAGAATTGTATATCGGTTTTAAGGTATGTAGAATATAAAGTCATGTATTAAATGTTGGATGTTACATGGTGATAATCCATTTATGCTTAATTTAAAACACCTGTTCGTACTTAATGTTCAAGTTTTGTATAGAGGCGTGCAGAGGAAAAGATGTATACGTGTGTGCGCTACAGTGTTCCTATGCATTATTCTAGTTTCAGGAGTTGGGTGTACAATGGTAGTAATGCGTTGTTTCTTAAACATTTAATTAAGTGAAGTGGATATGAACGTTTGCATCTGGGATTAGGTTGTTGGTAATTGTACCGGCAAAGTGGTAGTCAGGATAATGGAATGTCTGTGTCTATATCTCAATATTCGGCATCTGCTCTATGACTAAGCGGATATTATTGCAGACTATGCTAAGGGTGTATCGAACGAGATGAAGATGGGAATGGGGAATAGTTTTGTTTCATTCAGTTCCTTCGCGTTTCTTGTTTCTGTAAGTCTGTAATTGCATAAGCGATAAATTTCTTAGCGTTGTTTTTTTCTTGCGACGTTTCCTTTTCTTTACTCTTTTTTTTAATTAAGCCAAAATAAAATTCTTAAGGGTTGAAGTTAATAAAGAGCCTCTATCCAACATCGGTGTCAGGAACTGCGTGAATAATCTGTCTGTGTGACCGCGAATTTTCTGCTCATTACGTGCCCTGCGCTGCTCGTTTTTTTGCTTTCCCGTGCGCTTCCGTCGACGAAAAATTAACTTTATCTTAAATTGCTATCCCCTTGCCAAGAGAACCGAAGTCTTGGAGTCAAGGAGGAAATTGCGCATTTTTTCCGGGCCGACAGCCGGAGTTATTTAAGTAGTTAGACGAACCAATAAAAGTCCGATAAAGCCACGTTCTGATCGAGAATAATGTGTCAATCAGATCTATCGGATCGGAAAACCTTCTGAATGAATATTGTAATTTTCCGTTTCAGATGCTCCCCACGTTCAACGCTAATGCATCTGTTTGCTCCGCTGTTGATTCGTGAAATTATTTTCAACCGTTTTGCGGACGCCCGAATAAATTCCTGCCTCGCAGTTTCGGATTATTTCTATGCAATTAAAACTTCAATACAATGTCGTCCGCATTTGCGTATTTTGCACGGCCGTCTCTCTATAATTTGAATGAAATGAAAATCGCGGCGCCACTGCCAGACGTGTCCTTTTTGACGCTCCAGTTTCATACATAAACGGGATTTATTACGACATGCACTTCGTGACTTCACTGCTTTCTAGAGACGATGCCCTCCTTGTCAACCAACCTCCTTACCCACCGCATTTATCATAACAACATTTATTTATGCAAATATTATGAAACCAAAAACACAAACACAATAATAAAATACAACTTTTAAATTAGTGTTTTTAACTGTAATGTGTGTATTTCAGATGCGCCTAGGTGCAAAATAGGTTACGAGGTGAACAAGATTGCTTCGGTGACTTATGAAAACATGATCGTACAGTGCCATGTCGAGGCAATTCCTGAAGTAATCCGTTTCCATTGGACTTACAACACGAGCAAAGGTGTGCTTCCGATGCAAGGAGCTAAGATGCAGAACACGGGGGACGTTTCCACTCTGCATTTCACACCTGGCACCAATGATATTGAATCTTTATCGTGTTGGGCTACGAATAGCGTAGGTAGACAGGAAACACCCTGCCTATTCCATATTATACCTGCAGGTGAGTTATCAAAGCAACCTCCCAAAATTGAATTAGAAATTCAGAATAGATTACGACTTATTAAATATTAGTTAAGTAGTAAGTAATATGAGTCATCATTAGAGTAGTGGGAGGTATACAAAATATGTAATGGCAATATTTAATCTTTTTCATCGTAGAGCTTTTGTACATTGATATTTATTATGGTTCTTTTTCACACGTAGGCCATATTGCCCCATTTCGGTACATTTACAAGGAACAGCACTCAATACTCAATGCTTTATATCAATATCCATCGAACGTAAAAAAGTTTCATTAGTATTCTCTTTTATATAGGGCGCGTACAAAAACCATGAAAAAAAAGACACTAAAAAGAAAATAATATTTTTTTAATTAATTTAATTAATATTGAACTGTACACGATGCTTATTCTACAGTTAGCAATGATATATGATTTATAATATATACACAACTTCAAAATCAGAAAAGACTTAATTTGTCTTTATTATTTTAATAAAGATATAATTATCTTAATAATAATAACAACAATTCATTGGAAAAGCTTAAGCTGCAATATTATAAATCCAAGAAAATTATAATTGTAAACAAATAACGATGCTAAATTTTCCTTAGTTCCACACTATGGCTCTCGAATTACTTATAAATTATTGTTATTGTTAAAACAATCAATAAAAAGAAATTTAAAACTCCACTTAGAACGTTGCTGTTTTTAGCTATAGCAGTATAATATAAGGTTTATTTTTAAGTTACAAAATTGTGAAAGCATTCGAATCTGGATCGCATGCGGAGAAATAGTATTTGCCGAGATGTCCAGGGATGAGAAGTTACGAGATGCGGGGTGGCAGTAGCTTACGATGGAAATCGATTCAAATTTATCGGTTTTCCGGTTATTGGTAACATGATTTACGTTTTCCCTTTCAATCTGAGCCGTTTGTTTGCGGCTTCGCTTCTAGTGGATAGGGATGTTTGTATGTGAGAGAGTGAGTGTGTCCGCCTTTTGTGATATTCTAAACCTGATGTACGATATAAATGTGAATACTACCAGGATGGATTCCCAATGGACACTGTCATCCCATATGGCTGTCATGCGTCGGACAACTTTATACGAGCTGTTATTTATCTAATAGGTTCTCGTTCGAAGGAGAGACAAATTTATTTCGTCCGTGGATGAGAAGAAGCGCGTGCATTATTTCATAATACACCGGGATTTATGAATTTCTATGCTGTTTAACATGCAAGAAGTATTAATGTTTTGGTTGGTTGAATTTGCATTTCTTGTTTAGATAAGCCTGAGTCTCCAAGGAATTGCTTGATGCGGAACGCATCGCACGGGGGCGGTCTTGAAGTATCTTGTTTAGCTGGAAAGGATGGGGGACTACAGCAGAGCTTCGTGCTGGAAGTAGAAGATCTCACATTACCACTTGATCCGTCTGTTGTCGCCACTTTAAGCGATCAAGGGGATCATTCTACACCTGTGTATCGAGTTCTTGGTGAAACGCCGGTTTTCAGGTAGGATTTGAGGAAAATTAATCTGCTTTGTATATATATATATATATTTAAACATGAATTTATGTACAGGTTACATAGCTTAGAGGCGAATCGAGAATACCAGTTCGTAGTGTACGCAGTGAATGCAAAGGGCCGATCTAGTCCTCCGGTGGTTCTGCCCAACATTAGACTTGAAGTCCCTACAGATCCTAAGCAAGAGAACGGTATGTCCCCGATGGGATTTAGCTAATTTAATTAAAGTAGACAGTAACAATAAGCGCTTGCGCGTTCTGCATCCTAATTGGAATGACCTACTGCCTCTCGAAGAGTCTATCTCTAATTAAAATTTGCTTCCCAAAATGTCACAACAACTATTCATTCATTAAACCGCTGAAGCAATTAACTCGTCGCCCCCTAATTATTGTGCGATAGATTATTTGGCAGCGGGCGATGAGGGCAGAGAGGGATGGAGTTTTGGAGGGTGATCCTGTCCACTAATGTCTGTTATTATTTCCAAAGGGCTGTCCATTGGGGTGTACGATACGGATAAGGGGAATCATCCTATAACCTTGACCCTTCTGCTTGTAATCCTGGCAGCAATCGTGATGGTTCTTATAATTGGCATCGTGGCAATCGCAAGTGTACTGGCCTGCAGGCGACAGCCTCAGGTCGCCCTCAGGGCACGCAGAAGCAGTAAACCACCCGAAGAACTAGAACTTTCGGAAGCAGGCTTCAACGAGGGTTTCCATAGACGCAGCGCCCAATACAGGGCAAGTCTGTACGCGTCCGAATCGGATTTCGAGAGGAGCATTAATTCAGGTAAAAAGTACTATTATCAGCAGGGTATGCAAGGAACGTCTTACAGTTTGTCCCTAGAGTTTCAACGTCGATTGGGAGGCGCACGCCCTCTGCACCAGTTATGAACACGTGTGACGGGAGCATTTAGTTCTCTGATTACCGGTTTGGCTAACCTAACCCTCTCAAATTCGGAATACTAACTTACCATTCCCTTCTCGCTTACATTGCAAATTAGCACACAGGATATACCAGTTAAATAATTCAATATCCTTGCTAAATACTATCCCTTCGCATATCATTTGCACATTCAGCTCATTACTATTATAAAAACATTTATGTCTGCTTATATAATGAAGTGCATAATAACAACTTACAATCACAACATACAAAATACATACATTGTAATGGATATATCATTAATATTATATTTTTAAAAAAACATACAGTATTATATTAAAGATATCTTTGTGTAAATGTCTTTAGTCTACTGTTATGTGTAAATGTGATAATATTTTAATTGAGTAATTAAAGGAAAAGATTAATGAATATGTATATAATATTTAAAGTCGTATAGCACATCAGACATTCAAAAATAGTATTGTATTTTTTTTTTAATTATTTTCAAATACTGTGGTATAAGAATCAAATTTGATTAGAATATTTATATGCATGAGGGTAGCATGCAAACAGAATTAAATGTAAAATAATCCTACAATGAGTATTGCAGTTGTGTATATTATATAATGCAGATGTTTGGTGCGAAATGCAAGTAGTAAAACTTTCCGCAAGTTGCACAGTGCAGATAATTTCTTCCCATGGAATAGAAACAGATGCGGACAAGTCTAGTAATCTATGCCTAAACCAGATCAATAGTCGTAATATGTGAGGATGTGTATGTGCTACTTCAGAATACATATCTTCTTATTTTGTCGGTAGCGGCTAACGACGGTGGTTGGAGAGTATGAAAAGAGGGCACGTATAAGCTTTGAAAAAGCTGCGGCGATCGGCGCTGCGGAACGAACCTTTCCGTATCTCAAATTAGCAGATACAAAGCCACAGAAGCTAAATGGTTTCTGTCGATAAGGCCATGAAAGATTTAGCTGCGATCCATTCGGTATGAACGTGCCCTTTCATTTCGGCCCCGCTTAAAGACCAGTGATTTACTGTGCGAATACGCTAATATAAAATGCGTTATAACCCAGCTCAGGGACTGTAGGGGGAGGTTAAAACTTTGACAGAAACAGAAAAAAAGAAGTAAAAAAGAAAACGAGATAAAATATTGGATATTGTGATACACATAAAAGTCAAGCATACACTGCCTTACGCTTCGTTTATTTGCGTATTTTAAATCTTCTACATTGCTTATTTTTATTTTGCTTTACTATTTGTCGAAACAACACTAATGCGAACTAATCCTGCGTCCTGGAGTGCACGGGTTTCTCTAGCACGCTTTTAGTGTCCTATGGCATATTCAGCAGTACGATCGGTTTTTCTAGCATTAAGGGGATGCGTTGCATAAAATTTCCATTCCGCCCCTGAATAGCATTTTCCGATCACAAATCGTTGGAAGTAGACAGCACCATCTAAACAAACCATAAGTCTCGAGCGCCAAGTGTACGTGTGGGCATCCTCAGGGAATCAAAGCCGACTCTTTGAAAACAACCCCTGAGATTTGACACACCCGGAAGACCACAGCAACAATGGTCAAATAACTTTTTACTTTGCACACTCGCCTATATTGATGTAACAAATACATTTCAGCCTTCTTACAGAAAACTTAAATCTTTGTCTATTTAAATAACAAAACCAAAATTAACATGGAATTAATACCGTTCTGAATCAATAGATTATAATCATTTTAATGCATTACTCAGTTTCATGCTAAACATAATTTCGCTCTCATGACGCACACTCCAATATATTAGTTTACATATAGTCCAACCACTGAATTACATTAACGGTACATCATGTATTTGTGATTTTAACTAATGCAATGTAACAACAATATTGCCTTCATATATATGACAAGAATGTACTTTGTATAATAATATTATAGAATCATTTTGTTACTTCAAAAACAGTAAATGTATTTATTAATTAGTGTGCTATCAAATAAAGTTATTTTATGACTAGATTGGATGTACCATATTATAGAATGATTTTGGTATTTAAGGATTTCGAATAATATAAGGGCGTGGGGAGGGTCATTGACACGGCGACCTTGACAACACGCGGATACCGTGTGCAATCCACCGATTCGCAGGTCGACGTGGGGAAAATCGAAATTTTCGCCGTAGGAAGAACTGTCTGAAATTCTGCACGAATTTGAAGCAGTTTGCGCAAAGTTTTTCGGCCTCGCGATCCCGGAATGAACACAGTAAAATATTCACAAACAATTTGCAATTCTTTTCGCTGTTATTCGGAGCGCTTCAATTCGGTGTGCATCGTCGAAAAGTTTCCGTCCAGGGGCATGGAAAATATTTCAATTTGATTGTGTTTTGCATTAGCGTCAGTTTTGTTCGCAAGTCGAGTAAAAAGGATTTCGAGGGCAATTCGATTTCCATGGGAATGGCTTACTTTTCATCATCGCCTTCGATGTTCACCTCTTCGACTGTAGCAGAGGGTATCGAATGGTTGGAAAGAGTTCGGTGGTGGCAGCAGCAGCTACTCACTTTTTACTAGGTGTTATCGCCGATCGCGTTTACGTAATAATCGCAGATTCAGCGATAAGAAACGGGGAATGGGGGTAATTTGAAAAAATAGAAGCCTAGGAAAACATGCGAAGCCTGCGACCCAGCGAACCCGACGTTCAATGTGCATTCACGTTTCCTGCAGGACCTAATGAAATTATTGCTATTCGTCTTGTATACTCGTGTGTGCAATTTGCTTTCCTATCTGATTAAGTTCTGGTCACCAGAGACCCGTTGTTATTAAGCAATCAACTATACGAATCGCATTTTAATTGCCCGCCTTTATCTGTCTACCATATAAATCTTAGATTTAAATTCAGTTTTGGGACGTAATTTAGAGCGCTTACAACTAAACTTAATGTCTTTTTCGCGGTCCTCGCGTTAATCCCAGTGTTAAACACCTCTATTCTTTGCTCAGCCGCACGCTATGTGTAGATTAATTACTTTTCAACCTAAAAATGTAATCAATATTACAGTACGAAAATAATATATACTAAAAGTGCTCTTTAATGATTAATTTACTGGCGTACCCAAAACTTATTACAATTTTTATTTACAAATTTTATTTATTTTGTTTTATTTTTCAGGCCCGGATTTGATCTTGGCTCCTGTGAATTTTCCACGTCAAAGCACCGACTATTGACCCATGCTGACCAGGCGAGGATGACCTTATTTATTTGTAAATAGATTAGTTTTATGACATCCAATGCAGCGCGAACAAGAAACTTAAAAATTCTTCATTCCAGTATCAAAATTATACAGTCGTAGAACACACTCGTTGTATAATATTTGTTATAATTTTATTATATATTTTTGTTAGTTGTAGTGCTAATTTTAAGGAGTAATCAAAGAAAAAATGATTCAAGTACAAACAGTACATGCTGCAATCGAAATAGGATAAACTATCGTAATAATACAATTTATAATAAATTAGTTACTTAAACTACGATTACTCAATTAAGTATTTGTTTATATTCTCAAGTGTACGTACAATTAAATTTACAGCTATAAAACTTTATTTAAGTCATTCTGGACTAGTAAAACTTATAAAAGTAAAAATTGTATGTCGCGTTATTGGAAATAAATAGAGAAAGTTGTTGTTTTTTCGATGTTCTTGCTTTCTACTTATTCATTAAAAAAGCCCCAAAAAACTCGTTAAAATATGAAGTAGGTTATTCCAAGGATAATCATCGTTACATTAATATAAGCAATTTTATTAATGCTCATAAGTTGATTTCCATATTTGACAATAATTACCTTAGATGTCCTGCTAGTATTCAGAATTTTCATAATTCCATGGCTTTAACTAACAAATTTCTAATAATATTGATTCATTTATATAAATCAATATTAATTAACGATATAAAATGTAGCTTTAAAGTTAGTCTACCTGGTTTTTGTTTTCCGACAAGTATTAGGCAGCATGACATATACATTGAACTTCGGTATGAATCCCAAACCTGCAATTTGAGCCACACAAAGTTCTGGCCCAGAGGCCATTTCACGACATATTTTCAGCCGATTGTTCGCAGCTTTCGCATCACGAGTTCCGACTATTGTTTGTGTTTTATACCCTTATTTAGTAAATACATGGAAGAGCATTGTTTGCTTGGGTTTCAGATCTCTGTATTAGTTTTGTAATATAAGTTCTCTTTCGTTGGAATTTAGGTTACAGTTTATTATTATATCCTTGTTTGCAGAAAACATTATTTTTATAATCATTAATCCTCAGGATATTACATAACTCTGAAAGTATAAGTATATATAAGTATACTATGTATGTTTTTTGTAATAAACATTTTTATTGTTCTATAATATTTACTTGTTTAAATAAAAAAAAAAACACAATGCATTTTTAATATATTATAGAATCATTTTATGTGGATTTACACTTTATTCAATAATTATAGTATTATATCAGCATTTTGTAGAATTTAATAAACACATTTTTACATGATAAAACTTTTTACTAGTATTTCCGTTGTATTTAGAAATATAAGTTATAATCTTATGAATTACTATTAAAACTAAATTAAACTACTGCTTTGAAAAACATTTTATTAAGTATAAAATAATTGTATAAAGTATGGAGATGATTGCAATAATTTAATTTCTTTTTCAAGTAATGATTTCCACACATTATATAAAGTGAGTATACACTAAGAGAGAATTGAGGGAAAGAAGCAGAGCGGAAATTAAAATCGGAATGGAAAATATTACTAGGGATTCCTGGATATTTCTTAAGAAATTATTATTTTTTGTTTGGACGATATTAAAAGCAAACAAGGGCTTCTGGAATATTTTTTCTTTAAAAATAATATCTCCTCATCTTTCTATTCCTTATATATTCCTCCTAATTATTTCCTCCTCTTTGCATTCTATTTAAATACGTTTTACAGACTGCTTAAGTCCAATTAATTTCGATTTGTTGAAACCATTTTATATGAACTCACCTTTTGAATTGTACATGCCACATTGTTATTATAGGATCCTGCAATAATGAAAACGAAATAAGCATAACGCGTGACTGAGCACAAAAATAATATTGATTTTGGAGTAAAATACTTAACAGAACTTTTGTTGTAATTATTGTGAATAAGTATATCCTTTGCTCTTTAAAAAATAAGAGAATATGTCTGAATAATGTACATATTTCATATTCAGCAATATTATTTATTTCTCTGCATATAGTCAGAAGTAGGTTACGACTCACATTGTGAGTACATGTCACAGTTGTGATGAGAAATGAAAATTTATATTTACAAAGCGTAAAATAAACTTACCTTTAACATGTATCTCGCATTTTCTATTTCGCAATGCCTATTATAAATAAATACACTTTGTTCTGATATTGTTCTTTAAAAACCATCAATATTTAACATAATGATATAGATTCAACCACTGCACTAAAATACCAGACCAGAGGTCGGCAACCGTTTTGATGTAAAGAACCATTTCTGCCATATTTAGTGTTTAAATAAGTTTAGGGACCTATGACAAAATTTCAAATGTTTTAGTTGATTGGAGAATTTCAAATGTTTATCCATTTTACTTTTTGTCATCAAATGAGCTGCTAAACTAATGAAATAATCAATATCTTTCTCTTGATATGAATAATTTACTCTTTTATCATTTTTATTTCTATTTTATAAATAAACTATATTTATAGAAACAAGCAATAAACGTGGAACTTGCTACTTATTCCATGACTATATATCCTTACGTCAATACTTCTTAAGGTTTCGCATTAGGTGATTGAAAAGAACTTTCAGTGTTGTATATTTATTCCTATCGAGTATCAGCAATAAATCAGGTGTTGGTAGGGCAACGACTGAACGTGCAAATTATAGTAATTATAGATATTTCATCTAAAAGTATTGCATCAAAATAGATTCTTTGTTTTATAGCACACACAAACAAGAAAAATCATTTCCAGTTGATATATACATATATGTATATTACATAGGGAGCAACATACGTATAAAGGCGTACTGCTGATGCCTTTTTTTTTGTATTTTGGCTGGCGGCCAGTTGTAAAATAAAAGTCCTACAGTGTTCGTAAACATATAGGGAACGTACGTTACGGTCCATTTAGACCGATGCGAATTTTATTCACAAATGCTTTGTCCACTGAATAATAAAACTGATATAGAAACCTATATTATTTTACCGTGAAAGGGAGAAAGGGACTGAATGGACGCCATTCAAGATTCGATGATCCTCGAGCTGGGAAAATGCACAATTGAAATCTATTCGTGTATATTATGTCCATTGTTTTAGTCCGTTACAATTCTAAAGTTAAATGTATTCTATACCATTTAGATAGTTTGAACAGTTCATAAAGTGTACTATTAATATGACAATTATAATAACTACGTCATTTGTCATATACTGTTAATTTGAAAATATATTCCCAAAAAATATTTTATCACGTAAACATTAACTACAATTTATGTCAATTTATGAAAAAAATTAAACATATTCAATTTATACTTACTACAATAAACATTATGAACTATGAATGTGATACAATATGTAAGCAACAGGAGCTATGTTAAATCATCAGCAGATCGTTAATATTAATGTACATCGGTGAATGCAAGCTAATAGGGTTTTCGGGAAAATTGATGAAAACGACTTCTTAGATAACACACTGAATTACTTCTAATGAAAACTTGTTGAATTTGATGCTCTCTATAAAATTTTACGGAGTCCATGTAGCAGCAGCGATGTTAAATTCTGAAATTGATGTATTGCGTTCGTGGGATTATACAAATTTGCTTTAATAAAATTAACATTTTTGCATCGTAAAATGTCCTGGGGCTGATACTGCAGGTAATGAGAGGTCGAGAAATTATGGAGGACGGAGAAAAATGCTGTGCAGAGTTGGGGTTCTAAGGTAATCTAAGTGTCGCTTATTTGCATCCCCGCACGTACACATGTCTTTGGTGGCAGGTGCGGAAAATAGTCCAGGGAGTCAAGATCTTCGATACAAAGTACCTTAAAGTCGCGCAAGTACGGTATTCTTGCTCTGACAATTTGCATACTGGGTCGGTAATGACACAGTAAAGTTCACACGATACTAGATCTTAGATATCTCCGTGTGGAAATTACCTACTTTTCATATAATACCGCATAGCCATAGCTCGCATGTGCGATATCACTGACAGGCAATAATGTCTATATTAATAAAATTAATGGTCGTTTCCACATCATATGTGTTCGAGTACCACTAGACAATAATCATACATGATTATTTCTCGTTTCTGTTAGAATTATATAATACTGTATTATATTTCAAAGCTTGATAAACTTTAATAACATGAGAGTGTATTTAATTATATATTTCATATATTTAAATACATAATTAATCAATCATATCAAATTACATTACACATATCACAGTAAAAAAGCATTATATAATATATTTATTGATATTACCTCTTGCATCCACCAATAATTCATATTTTTTATGTTATTATGTCAAACATTAGCAATAAAAATAATGAACGGAATGTTTTTGAAAAAAAAATATGTTGCAAAATGTTAAACATTTTACTTAGATTAAAGTTTGGACAAGAAATATATCATATACTATATCTCATAATCGCTTCCTCTATAATATATAGAGTTTATATGTACGACATAGTTTAGCAAAACGAGGGGAGCGTTTCATTATTAATCGGTTTTAGAGTGCAGGTATATTAAATTCGGCACGTCATATTGATTAGTTGTGTATTATGTTTTTTCTCGTATATAAATATTCAGTAGAATGAAGTAAATAATTTACATAAATCAATTCATCAGGAACGCCAGAGACGGTTGTTTTAGCACAGTAGACGTTTCGTGCAATTAAAAACGTATTATTGAAATTCTGGCCAACGTAAATTGTAATAATTCGTCAGGCCAATATTAGGACAAGGCATTCAATTTACGCTCGAAAGTTAAAGGAAACAATAAAACAATATATAAATATAATAATGTTACAACAAAACGCAATGTATGAACACCAGTGGCAAAATAACATTTGCAATTTGCCGAGACCGCAGCAGTAATTCCTGAAATTCAAATTAAAAACAACAATTCACGAGAATTTAATTGTAATGAGACGAATTATACGTTCACATCTGTGGATGTTTTGGTGCGAGCCTCGCCCTCGGCGGATGGCAAACTTTAAAATTGCTATGGCGAAACTTCGGACAGATTTATCGCCAATAAAAGGGGAATTATTGCGACCATATTGCGTACGGAGATTTGTTTCAGATTATCTTCGGCTATCCTCTCTGCAAATATTTAAATCACATACAAAATACGCATGAAAAATAGAATTAAAAAAAACAACAATAACATATAAAGCAGTAAATAAGAAACAATGACCAACATATGAACAAATGATAATTTATTAAACGTTCAAAAGTATTGAAATAGCCCCTTGATATATAGAACTTTCACTTTTTTGTTTCATTTTGTTTTGCTTGGGTCGCAA